AAGTATAACTGTCATGGCTGGCATGCTCTTATTAACAAGTTTATTAATTAATTTATTCACTGCACTGAATATTCAGATATTAAAAATACTTTTATTATGAATTTTAAGAAAGAAAGAAGCGAAAACTTATAAATTGCGAGCAATTAAATAAGAAAAAATTTATTTCGAAATAAAATGAAATACACTAACCTTTATTTATGTTTATCACATAAGATTTAAGTTAAGTTTACAATCACAAAACTTGAAAATTTTTAATTATTTTTATGGTTCAAATAATTATCAATAATTTATTTATTATAAATGAACAAAATTTAAGCAATGCACGCTTGATAAATATTTCTAATGCGTTGTCAATTAATGCAATTAATAATTTCCTATTACACAATATCATAATCGACATATATGACATTTGTAAACAAACAGGGTTGGGAAACAAGAGCCTAAAATATATTCGTCCAAAGCGAATTTCAATCCTACCCAACTCTGCTATGGACGAACATATTTTGGTCTCTTGTTTCCCAACCCTGTTTGTTTACAAATGTCATATATGTCGATTATGATATTGTGTAATAGAAAATTATTAGTTGCATTAATTGACAACGCATTAGAAATATTTATCAAGCGTGTATTGCTTAAATTTTGTTCATTTGTAATAAATAAATTATTGATAATTATTTGAACCACAAAAATAATTAAAAATTTTCAAGTGTTGTGATTGTGAACTTAACTTAAATCTTTTGTGATGAACATAAATAAAGGTTAGTGTATTTCATTTTATTTCGAAATAAATTTTTTCTTATTTAATTGCTCGCAATTTATAAGTTTTCGCTTCTTTCTTTCTTAAAATTCATAATAAAAGTATTTTTAATATCTTAATATTCAGTGCAGTGAATAAATTAATTAATAAACTTGTCAATAAGAGCATGACAGCCATGACAGTTATACTTTGATACCAATTCAGGTATCAAAAAATGATCCCATATTCTGGATCATTTCTTATGAAAATGATTCAAACATTTGCATCAATTTGATACCTTATATCGAATCAAAACGTTGCATGAGTTGATCTTAATTCTTGTATCAATTTGATACACACAAGAAAACTGTGATATATTTCGGACATTCTACTGTATTTTTAGGGGAAATTTATATGCGCCCATTCTAAACTAACCCTTAAGTTTAAATCAAACATAATTTTTTTTCAAATAAATAATATTTTTGAATGTAACTGATAGATATTTTCCGATAAAACTTACAATTAGAGTAAAGTCACATGGAGCAGATTAGCAGAATAGATTTCAGCCAATCAGGCGATTGCAGAGAATTTCTGAATCGTCTGATTAGCTGAAATGTATTCTGCTAATGTGCTCGATGTGAGTGTACCTTAAAATTAAACAATATCGTTCAACCAGCATTTAAATCTCTATATATTATTTAAATTAAGTAAATGTAATTATTTCTTTTAAATAAATATTTATTTGCTATAATATAACAATGAAGTAAAAGATTACTTGAATTAAGTATAAATTTTTTTCAACGGGAAATCCACTTTACCTTTACTGTTTAGTAATACTTATAGAAAATATTTCTCTTTTGTATAATTTTTCAATGATATATATATATAGAACAAACACAATAGAATCGGTCTATTTCTTAGAAAAACTTATACTAAAAAGTATTTTCTCATGAAATGAACTTGATGGAAAAGCCAGGAACAAGGGACATATAAAGTCCGTTTTATGTATATATGTATATATATAGCGCATAATACTGATCGCAATGGGTGTTGAAATCCTCAGTTATACCCTTCCATATAATCCTGAAACGACTCTTGATTACCACCTTTACTTTTTTCTTCCTTATTCCATTGAAAGGATTATTCTATACTTGACAGACTTCGCTTTTATTCAGAGAATATTTTCCCACCTATATTTTTGCAAGAACCTTATATTCGCACTTTTCATCTTTTTCACCCACACACAAATCCGTATACATATTTTTTTTCAAAGACAGTATAACTTTAATTTCGTGGTGTATTTGAGATAAGATAGTATAGGCTATCATCAGAAATGAAAGCACATCTTTGTGAAGGACTTGTAATATAAGGAAGAAGGTCGACCTCTTTGATAATAAACGTGGGACATTGCATAAGATATATCGAGATAATTAAAAAAAAAAAAAGAAATAGTTTTTTTCTTTAAGACTTATTTGAGAGAAAGAATAAAAGAGGCTACGAAATGTGATGATGTAAGACTAGAGGGAGGGAAGAAAGAGAGAGAAAGAGAAAATAAAAAAGAAGAAAAGTGAAGAGGGTTGACGAAGTATGATGCCGAGGATATACGGTTACTCGAAGCACGTAATTCCCTGGCGTCGAACAACCTCGACGCCTCTCGGTAGTACGACGGTCTTCCTCGTTCCCTTTTAATTAATTGAATTAAATTAAACGAGCTCGGCATGCAAATACCGTAGTCAGTTTAATGCGTCGCCCGAGATACACTGCGATTTGTTTAACGAAGGGAGCAAGGAAACGAAAAAGCGAGAGTATGCTGAAACAACTCAAGGGGAAAAATCCTTCACTTGTTGCGCTCTTTCCCGTTTTACGACGAACACAGATTTTATTTAACTTCATATATCTATATACAACTATATATAAAATACCATTCCTCGGAAAATAATAATATTTCATGCGGAAGAAACATTCATTTTTATATTAAATCCGTTATAATTTATAGTTCCTCTTGTGATATTACGCAGAATTCTTTTTCTCTAATATAATTATTTATATAATATATATAATGTCTGGGCAGGTCCGCACCAAACCAATATATCGTCGACTTTGACATCTTCGATTTGGCTCAAATTTTTTTACCATTTTGTACCCTCCAAAAAAGAGCTTCATGATTTTTTCAAATTTTTTCATCAAGTCGCTTACAAGATATGAATTTCTCAAAATTGGAGAATGTTACATCATTTTTTATTTTTGAATGCTCATAACTTCCTCAAAAATGCATCAATTTTAAAAGTTTTTTGTAAAATGTGTGTCTTTAACTCAACTTTTCAAAAATTCCATGCAAAAAATTATAAAATTAAAATTTTTCTTTATTACCTCCACTCAGTATTAGCATCAGTGGGTAATGTAGATTTCTACATTATCAGCAATCGGTATGCAAGGAAACTGTTTTACCGACCAAGTGACTGCTTCTGCTCCTCCTTCCGAGTTGCTCCAAGAGAATCCTAATAATGTCGCTACTGTGTCCAACCCACCTTTATATATTACATCTCACCGATAGACACACTCACATATGCGATTTGCGCGCCACTAAGACATGGTGACTATACATAGTCACTTGTCCAGTTGATCGGTAAAACAGTTTCCTACCTTACCGACTGCTGACAGCGTAGAAATCTACATTACCGACTGATATTAAAACTGACTAAAGGTAATATCGACCGACGGTGGAACTAATGTCTGCATTACCGACTGTAGGTGAATACCGACCGGCTGTAAGTGACAGTGGCGCCATCTAGCGGCAGCCAGGGGAACTGAAGGCTAGTTATACTTCTTTGCATTTTTCAATTTTTTTCAAAAAAATTTTCTTTTACAAAATATCAATCACAGATTCACATGAACAGACGATAAACTGTATAGGTTTTTTTAAATCGTAATATTAATACAATTAATACCAATATTAGCAACAATAGAACAAACAGTAATATACCAAATATTTTTCAAATAACAAATTTGACACAAAAACGCCGAACGCACGAATAACAAAGCAAAAGCAGTGAAAATTAAGGTTATATCAAGATGAAAATTGAAATTGAGATATTATTATATAATTATATGTACATAATTAAGTCATTGAAATGACAAAACGAAATTTTTGTCCTTTAAATTTTGTTTGTTTTAAATTGAAAATTGAGCCGCCGGAAAGTAAAAGGGCGCATAAATTTTGTACAGCCGGCCAACTCAAACGACCGTACAAACTTTATGCGCCCTTTTACTTTCCGGCGGCTCAATTAGAAAGGTAATTTTTTGTTATAATTAATTGCTGACGTTATAAATTATGTCAAGCATTCTCTTAAAAAAAAATTAATAAAAATTAATAGCTCTTTAAGATTAAAGTATGTGTACCTTTCTTCAGTTTCTTTCACTTCTATTTTTTCTATTTTTCAAAGTGAAAGGAGAAGATTTATTCCGAGTGCTATATTTAAATTTTTTTCCAACATATATTTTTTATAAGAGAAAATAAATTCACCAGTGTTCGTCACTGTTATCGACAGATTCTTTAAATATATATTAAATAAAATAATACATATATATGCTATATCTGAAAAATACTTTCAAATATAGAAAAAATTAATCTCCCTTTTAACGCCTTTTTCCTTTAGATTAATATTGCATCAAAAGAATCTCCTCTCTATTTGAGAGGATATACTATTTTACTTTCTAAAAATTCGAATTACCAAAAAATCGAATTATTAAAAAACCGAATTTGTAAAAGTTGGAATTATCAAAAGTCCGAATTATTAAAAAACCGAATTTGTAAAAGTTTGAATTACTAAAAGATCGAATTCTACGATCTATTTACGTGTGAAATTTAATATTATTACAGAATTTTTAAATTTACCGCTCAAATAGAATCCAATTTAACTATAATTATAAAACATAGAAAGTAAACTTATTTGAGTAAAAAAGTTTCGATCTTTTGGGTATTCGTAGAAATTTGATCTTTTGATTATTCAAACTTTTGAAAACTCAATTTTTAAATAATTCGGAATTATAGAAATTCAATCCTTTAAATAATTTGATCTTTTAGAAATCACATAGCGAGGAGTAAAGCGTCAAATTTTGTAACTAGACCACGAGTATGAAAAAGATAAAGATAATTATGCGTTTGTCCTTTAATTTTAAATATAAATAATTATGATTATAATAAGAAATAATAATGATATCTGTGTTTTTGTTTTAATAAACGAAAATACACATTCTGTTTCAGACATGAAAGGTTGTCAGAAGCCGATAGTGGTAGAAAAGTATCGGAGAGTAAGATGAAACATGAAATAATTGTAATGGGAGCACCCAAAGTGGGAAAGTCAGCGATAATACATCAATTTCTATTCAATACATTTACGACAAAATACAAAAGTACAGTTGAAGAAATGCATCGTGCTAAATTCGATGTTAGTGGAATTCAATTAATTCTTGACATTCGTGATACCTCGGGAACACATGAATTTCCAGTAATGCTTGACATGCGCATACAATCGGCTGATGCATTTGTTCTCGTTTACGATGTCAATGATAAAAACACATTTACCGAATTAGTTGCACTTCGACAAAGAATTATTGACAAAAAAGGTGTTAATGTACCTATTGTTGTTGTCGGTAATAAAATTGATTTAAGAGAAGATGTTGAGCAGGTAAAAATCAAATAATATCAAAATATATTGTGACGCGCTCTGAAGAAACATAAAAATTTATATAGAGGTTATGTATTTATGATTGTTTGAAAACTAAAACATAACCTATATAATTTTCTTGCTTATCAATTATATATAATGTACACAGAGCGCGTCACGTAAATATTATAATATCAAATAAATAATTTATTCTCTTTAGGTGGAAACTGAAGGCACAAGAGAATTAGTGACTGTCGAATGGAGCAATGGATTTGTGGAGGTATCAGCGAAAGATAATTTAGAAATATCCACAGTTTTTAAGGAGCTACTAAGTCAAGCCAAAGTCAAGTATAATTTAAGTCCAGCACTTCAACGACGACGTCGACAGTCCCTTCCGCCTCCTCAACATCTTAATTCGAGGACCAGTAGCGCTCAAGTCCCAACAGCCGCACAATTACAACATTTACAAAAAATTAGCGAACGAACGGATTCAAAACGAAATTCATGTATTCTATCGTAAGAAAAGAAAAAGTTACCGCCCATAAACACTATAAATTTTCTCTCTGAATTTGAATTTTTTTCACAAAATCATTATTAAATTTTTCTATATATATGCCATTCCAAGAGTTTTCAAAGTCACATTTCAGAATAACCTCACCATAATTTAAATGAACCCAAATAGTACGTAATATTACCTTAATATCACTGTAATATTACATAGAAAATTCGTGATATTAAAGTAATATTGAGGTAATATTTTTATTATTTATGTAATATTACAATGTAATACTAATAATATGAATAATATTAATAATTATAATAAAATGAAAATTACACTGAAACAACAATTTTCTAAAGGTTACGAAAAAAAAAAACCATTTGAGTATATCTGACGCACGGACGTTGAGAACCAAGGTGGGAGAAAGAGTTGAGCGATTGGACGGTCACATCTTGGAAAGGGTAAAATTCTGAAATTATACCCCCACCAGAGGACAGAGACTAGGTCTTTTATCCCTTTCCACACTATTTCTCCCACCTAGATTCTCAATGTCCGTGCCTCAGATATATTCAAATGGTTATTTTTTCGTAACCTTGGCTAAGCAGGTTTTCAAAAATTTTCCTGTTTCATTCATTTAAAATTTTCCTAAAAAATTATGTTGAATAAATAAATAAAATAATATTTTTTTTATATATATGGATAAGTCGCACAGACAGGAGCCAAAGGTTAAGTTTCATTATGTTAATACAAATGTTAAAACTATTGTAAAACTTTAATTGAAATCAATAAACAAATTCTAATTAAAAAAAAAATAATTCGTAACTTTTAGAAAATTGTTGTTTCAGTGTAATTTTCATTTTATTATAATTATTAATATTATTCATATTATTATAGTCAAATACAGTGTCAGGCTGTAGTTTTATATGTATATGAATTTTCCATTTTCACATAGGAAAAGAACAATTTTTATTTTCTATTTAAAAAAAGGGTGTCGCAAATTTGTCAATAATTACGTACATTTTCATGTTTGTTTACATTTGACGAGTTGCACCTGGACTTAATTAATTGGTTCGCATGGGCGACTCTTTAACATCAACATTTAATTACAGAGAATTTTTGAACAAAGATTTTTATTTTTTTTTATAATATATATATGAAACTGTTTATTTACAGTTATTCATACTTAACAAAAAAAATATTAAATTACACTGTAAAAAATCGCAAAGTTATTTTACGTCGTAATTTTGGTAAAAAGTGATCAGATTTAAAAAATTCAAAATGGCGGACCTAATATGGCGTCCAAAAAATTTAAAAATTGACTAGATTTGCATAAAAGTGGTTCCTTTAAGGTTTATGGGGTCCCTAAATCCATATTTGAGGTCAGATTTAAAAAATTCAAAATGGCGGACCCAATATGGCGGAAAAATTTTTAAATTGACTCAATATTTTCAAAATTTAGTTTTAGGGGGTTTTTGGGGTTGCTGAATTCAAATTTGACCTTAAATTTGGATTCAGCGACACCAAAACCCCCCGAGTACCAAATTTTGAACGAATCGAATCAACTTTAAATTTTTTCCGCCATATTGGGTCCGCCATTTTGAATTTTTCAAATCTGACCTTAATTTTGGATTCAGCCAACCCAAAAACTTTTTTAATAGTATGATATGATATTTTTTTGGGAAACTTTTTTTTAACCGTTTTAGGCCCACAAACGATTTTTCTACTTAACTGCGAAGGGGTTAATTAAATTGTTGAGACTGCTACGAAATGTAATTTTAAAAAAATTCCTAGAATGGCAGATATATAAAATACTGAAAATAGTTTATAAGTTTTCTTAAATTTCACAGAAAAATTTATTTAATAAAAAAAATGACTGAATATGGTATCTCTATGAATTTTAAGATTTATAAATCAAAATTTTGGAGAAAAATATTCAAATTTATAGAGAAGTCACAATTAGAGTATTATTCTGGATAAAAGTCACTTCAGTATCAACTATTCTTTACACTGTTAAAAATATTCCTAAAATAAATTTCATAAAAAAGAAATTTTTAAAGAAATTTAATTTTTAAAATTAAAAAAAAATCGTAAAAAAAAGAAATTTTTTTTTTTAATTTAATTTGAAAAATAAACACGAACAAGCGTCAAAAATTGAAATTAATATCAAATTACGCTTAGTGCGCATTCAACACGTGAAATTATATATTTATTTATTTATTTATTTATTTACAGTATAAACAAATCAAGTACAAAAGAAAATTTGTAAAATCGAAATATTCTTTATTCTATATATATATTCATTTTTTAAATACTTCGAAATAAAAATTAAATTATATTAGAGAAAATATATAATGAAAAATATTTCTATCAGTGTAAATCGCATTTACTGAGCCTGAAATAATATCGGCAAAGCAATTACAATTAATAATAATTATTACCATAGAAATGTATATTAATCATCTTTGTTTGATTTCTTGTTTAAATATAATTTGAATACAAAATTTGAAATTTCTCAACAAACAGAAAATTATATATATATACATAAATCTAGCGTAAATTATGCTCTGCTAAAAAAAGTTCAAAAAATATAAAGCAGCGAAATTATAATTTCAATAAGGTTTTACAGAAAAAAAAAGTTTATGCAATGAAAATACAGGTAATTTTTTTAGAGGAATTTTTATTATTAATTTTAAATATACTATAATTACACAAATATTCCTTAGCTATATAAGTTTTTGTTATCTTTTCAAAATGTATTTATATTCACTATAGTATGTTAATTTTTTTTCATTATATCAAAAATATGTTTATTATAATATTGTTTAAATATTTATAATTGTATATGAAATTCTTCTTTGGATTATTTTTCATTTAATATAATGAAATGAAATTTATCTTATTTTGTAATAAGTATACTAACTAAAACAATGGTAAAAAAAAACATATTACATAAATTTTTAATTACTTTTTATCAAATGAATTGTCGTTTGACGAAAAACTATCAAATTTTATTTTGAATTAAATTTTCTATAAAAATAAAATCGTACAAAAATTTCTTTTTGAAAAAAATGTATAAGTAGAATCAAAAAAATATTACCTATGTGAATTATAATTTTTTCATTTTGAAAAATTAATAGCTAATGAAAAAATGAAAATTATTTGAATTCTATTAAAATTTACCAGACTGTGATCATTTTTTGTCATTTTTTTTTTTTCTAATTACACAAAAATTTTTTTCAACTTTATTAGCAGAGATATATTAAAGTCAATATATACTTGAGCGGGAACACAAACGCAACATTATTGCGATTGCAATCAAATGTGTTAGAATAAAATAAATGTAAATTTGCATGGACCAAACCCAGAAAAAAGATTTATTAAAGTATCAAGAATTATTAATACATTTTTTTATTTATATTCAAAGCGTAAAAATCTTTTGTGAATATACAAAAAAAAATTGTTACGAAATATAATTGATAAATTGATAAATTAAAAATCACTAAGAATTAATTGTTATGTAATTATCGAATATATAAATATTGATATTTCCATACATTCTCAGTGGTTTTTTTTTCTATTTTAAATAAAGATTATTTAATTTACTGTGAAATTGTAATTTTTTTTCCAAAATAATATATTTTTAATAAATCTTTTTTCTGGATATGTTTTCATTTGTTTTTATTTTGTTTTATTTTGTTTCAATATAATTAATAATAACATATTGTATTTTTTTTCATCTATAAATATTATAAAATTTTTTGTATTGAATTAATTCAATATTATTATGTAAACAAAGAAATAATAATTTGATAATTATAAGTATAAGTTATAATGAATAATAATTAATATATTGTTTGCAGGATTAAGAAAGCAATAATTTATAATAATTATATAAGATGATTAATATTAAATAGTAAATTATTAAAAAAAAAAAAAAGTATATATATATCTAGTAATTTTGAAAAGAAAAAAATTTATAAAAACACTAAAAAAGAAATTATTTTTTTTCCTAAAAATAAATATAACGAAGCACAAATTACTCTAAAATTCTCTATAATATTGTGATGAATCGAAAATATAAATAAAAAAAAACGAAAACATAAAATCTATATATATTTCACTGCATGTATAATATGTATCAATCGAGAAAAATATTTTTAAATGAAATCAAAACTAATATTTATTTATTTTCGCAATAACGCTAATTAATGATAAGAATAATAATAATTATTATTATTTTCTAATTCAAATTAACTTTTTTAAACCTCTTAAAAAATTACCTGTTTTAAATAAATACCTATATAAATATATATATATATGGGCTTCTTAAAAGCATTTCTAATTAACATAAAACTCTACTTATTCTATTGTTACAAACTTCCTTAGAAAATTTCAAATAAAAAGTCTTTCAGAAACATAAATATAGACGAGGTCGCAAAACTTTCTCATAAAAAATGTCATTTGGAACAAAAAAAAAAAAATAGTAACACATGGTAATTTAAAAACCAAATCCACTTCCTTTTAACCAAATATAATTAATTAATATAAGTACTGGAAAAAAGTTAATATATTTTTTAAAAAAATTCCTTTTTCATTCTACTCAATAAAATGATTAATATGCGTAAAAATTATTAATTGACTAATATTTCAAATTTTAAAAATTAAAAACGTTCTTAATTTAATTAATTCAATAGAAAGATTCATGAAAAAAAAATTAAATTTTTTCCAAAATAATTATTGTAAAGACTTAGTTTAAATATCAAACTAAAAACTGCCAATTTCATATCATTAAAAAAAATTCCTATACGTTAATTAAATTATAATTTTCTTAAATTATAAAATTAAAATAATAACAATTTCCTGTTTAAAGTACAATAATACAAAAAAAAAAGTTAAATTATTTTTACGAGAATTAAATATTTTTTCTAAATATTAAAGTTTAATTTTCAACGAGAATGAAAAAAAAAAAATTTTTTACATCTTCAAAATGATTATTTTGAAAAATTATAAAATATAGAACATTATAAATAGTAATAATTGTGTAATATAATTAATTAATTAATTTTATAAGAATATAGTCGTATAATATAATGACATCGATAAATTTTGTCCACATGAATAATTTAAATTTAAACACTCTAATTTAATTTATATTTATAAAATAGATTATACGCATAAAATTAAACATATGTGTGTAAATAAAAACTTATTATAGAGATTAGTATAAAAATTTAATTACAATTATTAAAAAAAATATATATATTAATATTATAAAATATTATAAATGAAAAATGTTACATCAAATTATATATAATCAATGTTTCAATATTCGTATTGGTTAAAAAAAAAAAAATTTATGCGATTATAGAAATTTACGTTAATTGATTATAAAAATTTAATTTTAACTAAATTAAAAAAAAAAATTTGATTTGACAAAAATTTTTTGTTTATTATAATTAATTCTAAAGATATTTTTTCGATCACATTTATTTTCTATTTAATATATATTTAAAAATATTTCATAAAAAATAAAAAATTTCAATTTTTTTTTATAATAATACAATATATTTATTTATTGTAATTTATAAATAAAATGACTTTGTAATTTCTCGTTGTAAATACGGTGTGAAAAATAAATATTAACTTCATGTTCATGAAAGAAATAAAATAATTAATTTCATTATAATTATAATTCTAAATAAATAATTAGCATTTTTGAGAATTAAAATAAATAATAATTTTAACACATAATTTTAGTTATTAGAATACAATTTGATAAATTAATTTGTTAATCTAATTTAGAAATTTAAAACATTTTTTTTTTTTAATTTACAATATAAGATTTTTTTGTATTAATTTTTTTATTTTGATGACATTTTTTTGAGATTTTTAATATAATTTTTAAATTTTCAACCAAGTGGCTCCATCTGATGACAATAGAGTGATATAAATATCAAGTCATGTGACAAACGTGAAGAAGACGCAAAGCCGCCAGTTTAGGTTAGGTAACCGGTATTTGTTGAGCTGTAGAGTAGCTTTCGATTTTTTTCTCATTTCTTTTGTTATAAAAATATCAGTGATAGTTTCAGTTGAAAAAAAGAAAATGGATAAAACAAATGTCAATTTTCGTGTAAAAGTTGATCTCTCGAAATTTTTTCAAGATCATCGAAAAATCAGTTGGGTTTTTGTCGACAGGACAAAGACTTCATGCATTAAACATCTAAAAGATCATATTGCAAAAATTTTCGGCATTCAAAACTTTCATATTCTTAGCGATTCAGCAAATTTGCCATGTGATGAAAATGTTAGCATTATTCAATACGATAATCTCATAACGTAAGTATAATTTCAAAAAAGAAAATTGTTTCATTATTCTCTAATTGTATAATTTTTATAGGTCGCCATTTTTTTTTCTTTCAAAAATTATATATGTACATTTCTCGTATACCGGGCAGACATTTTTACTGTCAATTGTAATATTTATCATATTTAATTTTCCCTTTTTTTCAATGATTTTAAAATTAAAATCTTGCCGATATTTTAAAATATTTATAAACAATTGTTTTTTTTATATTGAGTCTTCTAAATTTTTTTTTAATAATTCATCATTATTTTAATTTTAATTCATTTCCCTTTGCTGACTAGTGAATATTAAAATCCTAATTCGGAATTTTTTTTTAATAAGCTAACAATATTTTTGTCTGTTGATTAGTTTACTAATTATTTTGATTATTTCGAATTTATCCTTTATAATAATCTCTGAAAGGTTAATAAATATTTTTAACACAAAAAATTTATATCGCAAAATATTTGTAAAAAAAAAAATTGTTTTGTAAAAATCAAAGAAAAAATACAACATAATTATTTATGTAAACATTCGGAATATTTTTAATTTTATTTCATTTTTAATATTGACAGCCTTGTTCCCGGAAGCTCTGTAAATAATAATAATAATAATAATAACAATTCAGTCAGCACCTTCGATGAAAAAGAAGTACAAACAGATAAAGACGATTCAAATGAAGATGAAAACACGACTGTTCTCTCTGGATATACATTGCCAGGTTCGATTTTACTTTTCTAATAATTAATTTTAATTAAAAGCACAAATATATTTATTATTTAAGAATTCGCAATTTAAAAAAATAAATAAATCTACATTTAAATGAGTTGAATCAATTATTGATTAAAATTGTAATCGATCTAAATTTCGATTCATTTTACTTATAATCAGACATCAATTCAATAGATTTAAAATTAAATTTATTCAAATTTAAATCTGTGAAAATTTTAATTAATTAATCCAAATTTCAATTTAATTAAATTGAATAAAATGTAATTAATTTTAATCTATTAAAATTTTAAACAATCTAAATTTCAATTCAATTTTAATTTCAATCAATTGTAATTTTTATTATTTAAAATAAATTTATTCATTAAAATTTTAATCAAATGAAAATTCAATCGATCGAAACTTAAAATTAATGAAATTTCAATCTAACTAAAGATTAATTTATTTAAGTATCAAATTTTACGTATTTTAATTTATTTAAGTTTTGAATTATTCAAATTTTAATTTTTTTAAGTTTCAAATTATACGAATTTTAATTTATTCAAATTTTAATTTATTTAAGTTTCTAATTATTCGCAAATTTCAATTTGTCTAAATTTTAATTGCGACTTAAATTTCAATTTATCCACAATTCATTTTTTTGTTTATATTTCCGTCACCTAATTTTCCTATTTTATTATTTTTAAATAATTCACCTTTTTATTTTTTTTAAGAAAAAATGTACTTTAATTCCTTTTCTAGAAAAATAAGTGAAATATGGTACAGGCTTCGAAGTAACACACTTTTTTTTACTTTTTTGATACTTTTTTCGATTTTTTTCTTAATTTGGCAAATTTTTTTTTGACAGAATTTTTATTTTACAAAATTTCTCTTTACCCAACTGTTATTTTAAAAAAATAATTCTAATTTAACCGAAATTCAGACAATAATTCAATTTTAGAGTATTTTGAATTGAAAAATATTTTAAATAATTGAAATGCCAAGATCTTGATTAAAGTTATTAGAAATAATTATTTCGACAAAAAATTTGAATCAAAATTTTTAATAATAATTGATTTTCAGGAGATTTTGAATAAAAAATTTTCTAAATTAGAATTGCTAAAAATTATTAACAAAATTTCAAATAGTAATTGAATTTTAGAGAATTTTTAATTAAAAAATGTTTTATTTAATTGAATTTTTGAATAATTGGATAAAATTTATTGAAATTATTAATTTAGCAAAGAATTTTAGATACAAATTTTAAAAATAATTGAATTTTGGAATAAATTAAAAATAAGTTAAATTAGAATTCTTTTCAAGAAACAGTTTTCTTAAATGATATTTTTTCATACTTTTCTTAGTCTCTTACTACGCTTCGAAACCTAATAATAGAAAAAACGCATTTTAATGTCTACAAATTTATTAGTTTTCTATTTGTAATTTATTAAAAAAAAAAAAATTTTAATCATTGTGAAATTTACGTTTTATAAAAATTATTTTATATAATTTAACTATTTATTTATAATCTTTATCCAAATGCAATCAATTTCAATGATTCAAAGTTGTTAAAAAATTAAATAAAATTGTTCTCGATTTTATTAATAAATTTACTGAATAAAAAAATTATGTGAAGTGTTGGACAAATTTTTTAATTTCATTCTTTCTAAAGACGAAAAATAAAAAATCAATTAAAAATAATCTTTCAGAGACAACGAACGTTACAATGTATCATAGTTTATTAGACGAATCAGAAGCCGGTAGTAGTACGGCGGAATCAAAAGAAATGGACAGTATAATGACCGAAGATTTAAGTTATGATACAAACACGCCAGCAAAAAGAAAACGATCACGTCGAAAGCGAATCAAGAGGCTTGACACATCTTCAAATTCAAAAATTGACAATTCTCCTCAGGAGGAAAAACGAAAACCAAAGATTATTGACCAAGTTGTGTTGAGTACGGGGAAACATATTCGTTTCAGTAATCATGATGAAGAAATTATATCCCCAAATAGTTGTAAATCTCCCAACATTTCAGAATTTCAAAGTAAATTCATTGAATCTCCAATTAGTAAAAGTTCCTCATCAAACAGTTTAGATGCTCTATTGAGTCTAAAACAATGCTCAACTCCATTGACATTTTCTTGCACAAAAAATAATAATAAACAAATAAAATCCTCAAAAATAATAACTCCAATACATGAGGATATAGAAAATCTCACAGAATCTGATAGAAATATGATTTCACAAAAGGAGAAAAGTTTTGATATTAATAGTTATGATAGTAAGGAGGTAGAAAAAATTCCAATTTTGACGACAAATCCACAAGAGAAGGACACTGTTGCTTTCAAAGTAAGTTAAAAATAAAAGGTTGCATGAAAAAAGAGATCAAGGGCCAATTTACAGGCAAAAAAAACAATATTTCAAAATTCCTCTAGTCATTTAAAAAAAAACTAAGAAAATCGATTTGATATTATGCTTTACACGAAAAGAAAATAAATATCAAATTTTATAAAAGCATTTTCAAATTTTGTAAAAGTATTTTCATATCGTGGAAAATATTGTAAAAAGCGAAATTTCCATATAAAAAATACAAATCTTTAATAAACTTTTATGAAATTTATTATAGTTATAATAAAATTTGGTAAAACGTATTTGATTCATTACTAAATTTTATTATAACTATATAGTAAATTTCATAAAAGTTTATTAAAGATTTGTATTTTTTATATGGAAATTTCGCTTTTTACAATATTTTCCACAACTTGAAAATACTTTTATTTTGATATTTATTTTCTTTCCGTGTACCGGAGGAACAAAAAACTAGTTCTACACATTTCAGAAAAAATGGTAATTATTCGTCAAATAATGATTTTTTTAACATTTTAATTTTTTTCTTTTATTCAGACAAAAATCGCAATTTTTCGTAACAATAGCCTATTTTGTTAAGTTTTTTTAAAAGGGTCAAACCATTATATTTCAACTAAAGTGGTCGCTGACTAATTTTTAAAAATTATAATACTTTGCAGGAATGATTTTGAAGTTATCAAGATCACGAAATGAAAAGAATTTTATTAAAAATTTAAATATTTATTGTAAAATATGAATTTAAAGTATATGAGGTGCTAAAAACTGTCAATTTTTTAGCCATTAGAAAATATGCAAAAAAACATAGAATTTACCATAAAAATAAAAAAAAATTATTGGAATTTACTAAGAATGAATAAATTTATCATTATCAATTGATATAATTATTTAAAGATGTGAAGTAATATATAAAATATGATTTCCAAGTGCACCTGTCAAATAACCTAATTTTGCGATTTTTATTCATTAATTATAAAAAATAGAAAACATTAAATTAAATAAAAACTTACCAAATATGAAGTTCTTGCCATAAACTTTTAGAATTTCTTTGCACTTTTCTTCTTTTCTATTCATAAGTATGAAAAATTTAAAAAATAAAATAGCTACTTTGTCTATTTTCACTATTTTTGAAAGTCAATAACTTTCTTGGAGAAAAATGAAAAAATATGGGGTTTCGAAAATTATTTAAATACACACTACATATACATTCACTGAAAATTTCGCATTGGTCCCGAAGCTATTTTCGAAGATAAAGTAAATTAAAAATTTCGTATTTTTTAGGCTATATTGACATAGGTTTTAAAGGTATTAAATCAATGTGAAGTTTGTCGTCACCAGTGAACCACCTTCACATTGATTTAAAATCCATGTCCATATAGCCTAAAAAATACGAAATTTTTAATTTACTTTATCTTCGAAAATAGCTTCGGGACCAATGCGAAATTTTCAGTGAATGTATATGTAGTGTGTATTTAAATAATTTTCGAAACCCCATATTTTTTCATTTTTCTCCAAGAAAGTTATTGACTTTCAAAAATAGTGAAAATAGACAAAGTAGCTATTTTATTTTTTAAATTTTTCATACTTATGAATAGAAAAGAAGAAAAGTGCAAAGAAATTCTAAAAGTTTATGGCAAGAACTTCATATTTGGTAAGTTTTTATTTAATTTAATGTTTTCTATTTTTTATAATTAATGAATAAAAATCGCAAAATTAGGTTATTTGACAGGTGCACTTGGAAATCATATTTTATATATTACTTCACATCTTTAAATAATTATATCAATTGATAATGATAAATTTATTCATTCTTAGTAAATTCCAATAATTTTTTTTTTATTTTATGGTAAATTCTATGTTTTTTTGCATATTTTCTAATGGCTAAAAAATTGACAGTTTTTAGCACCTCATATACTTTAAATTCATATTTTACAATAAATATTTAAATTTTTAATAAAATTCTTTTCATTTCGTGATCTTGATAACTTCAAAATCATTCCTGCAAAGTATTATAATTTTTAAAAATTAGTCAGCGACCACTTTAGTTGAAATATAATGGTTTGACCCAAAATCATTTTTTTTTTAATACTTAATATTAGCGAAAGTTTTGAAAGAAAGAAAAACTCATAAAAACATCCTCAGCGAATATAATTTTTTTAATGTCGTTAAAAAATTATTAAACAAAAATAATTTGATTTGTTTATATTTTTTCAAATTATATAAAATAAACAAATTACAATTTTTGTTTTTGAGCTGAAAAGAAAAATCAAAAAGTTAAAAAATAATTATTTGACTCAAAATGCATCATTTTTTCTCAAATGTGTATAATAACTTAAAATAATCAAAAAATTAAACATTTTAAAAATTTAGATGAAAAAATTAATATTTATAGGTATTTATTTATTTATTTCAGTTTTTGCATTATTTCCATAAAAAAAAACAAATAAAAATTAATATTATTAAAGTTATTGATTCACGCTTTCTGGAAACCTGTAGAAGTTAGAGAATTTTATTTGGTATAGAAAAGTTATGGAAATGGTGTAAATCACCTGGAAAAAAATTAAATCATAAAATTCATCAAAATTGATTAAGATATTGTGATTGTTGTGATTTCACATGAAAATATTATCTGCAGATTTTTTCGCAAAAGACTTGAAGAGAACTCAAGAAATTAATTTTTAAAAAATATTTATTATAATAATAAACTTTACTGGATTTTAATGAATTTTGTATATTTCGTCGGTTGGATGCAGAAACGTGCCACTTCAGAGCAGTCTTGAAAAACGAGTCATTTCATAAAACATTTGAGAAACCTGCCATTCCAGCTGAGATTTGGAAAACATGCCAATTCAGAATTGATGTTTGTTTTTTTTTCATTAGGTTGACACTACTGAAAGGTTATAAACTTGTACGAAAATGACTTTTCATGTTTTCTTAGTATTAATTATTATTTTACATTTATTATTCATAATAAGTGTATATTATTCAAATTAACTTTTAAAGGTTTAGTGGCATGGCATATTTATTAAACAAATTTAAAAGTATAACCAACACTCTCAATAAAATTAAAAAATGTCCTAAGAAGTGTTTACAAAATAATAAATAATCTAATTAAATAATCCGTAATTCAAAATGTTTAAAAATATTATATTTAAAAAAAAAAAAGTAATAACTAATAAAATTAATAAAGAATAATTATAATAGAAAAAAGTTAATTAAATATAATACAATTAAAATAAATAAAACAAAGAAATAAATAAAATAATTATTAAAAATAGTAATGAAAAAATCTTTTGTAAAAATTTATAACCATTCAATACTGCCAACCTAAAGAAAAAAAAACGAACGTCAATTCTGAATTGGCATGTTTTCCAAATCTCAGCTGGAATGGCAGGTTTCTCAAATGTTTTTTGAAATGACTCGTTTTTCAAGACTACTCTGAAGTGGCACGTTTCTGCATCTAACCGACGATTTAATAATTATTTTTATATAAACCATACTTTTATGGAGTATGAAAAAATTTCTGGAAAAGTCATGGAATTTTGTTCGGGAGAAATCGTAGGCAACCCTGCTGATTAATTACTATTTGAAAATATTAGTAATTTTTTTTTATCCCCTTAAATATTAATGTAATATATTAATTTTTTATTATTATGTAAAATAATCTAAATTATGTGTTATAGATGTTTAAAATGGGAGACAATTATACGCCTGAAATTTCAAATTTCATGTATGGCGAAATCATCCATGTGCATCCAATAACAAATCTGTTTACTATTAAAATTTTACGTACGTTAAATCATTATTTTTTTTTACATTTTAACTCATATTTTGAACTCTAAATTCAGAAATTATTGAAAAATATTTATTTATATTTTTTTTAAATTACTGAGAATTTAAAATTATAATAAATTATGAAAAATTAGAAAAAAAATGATAAGATATTATTTTAAGAGAAATCAAAATTTCGGAAAATATTAAAATTTGAACTTTTCTCATAATTTATAATTATTTTTCATTGATAATTCTTTTGACACTTTTTTTTAATAATAATTTAATAAAAAAAAAAAGATAAAATTTAACGTTATTTTTTTTAAAAATCAATTGTAAAAATTTGCATTAAATTTAAATTTATTAATTTTTTTAAATAGATGGTCAACAAGAAATAGAAGAGCCAAAAGGAAAATTCACTCTTCCTACGGATGATGAAGAAACTCATACAGATATTATCAAAGTTACTCACCCTCAACTTCATGAACTAAAATTACTCTTTAGAAAAGAGAAACTTAACGAATAGTAAGACTTTTCGCATTTATCGATAATTTATATGGTTATTTTTTTTTTTTAGTTAATTTTAAATGTTTAAAACAAAAATCAATAATGACTATGAAATGGTTATATTTTGTTTTCAATTCAAATGAATAGAACGGAGAAAATTAAAACAAAAGTTAGTCAACAACTTTACATTTTTGTAGTTTTTTTTTTTTTAAGTAAAAAAAGAAAAAAAAAACAATTTTTAATCAAAACTATTTTTTACTAAAAGTGTGAGTAATTTTATTTTTAATAATTTCGCATCATTAAAAGTTGTATTTGGATAAAAAATTACAAATTTCTGTCACTATAAGAAAATATTATCAAATTTTAAATTATGTTTACCAAAAGCAAAATCTAAATATTTACTGTATCAGAAAATTTCAATTTTTATATCAAATACAATCTTTAAAATGTTAAAAAATTAAATTCTCCACACATGTACTAATATTTTAAAAATGTAACCTATTTATTATTTATTTTTTCTTTTAATAAAAAGTACAAAATTGTAAAATTGAACTAACTTTTGTTGTGATTATTTATCCGATTCTTAAAAAGTTACGTATAGTTATAGTTTCAAGTTATTAAAAAAATATTTAGTTTTCTATAATTTTTTTTATAAATGCATTAATGTTTAATAAATATAAAGATGTAATTAGCGAGTTTTTTTTCTTTTTTTTTTGACTTTATGTAAATCATGTAATTTATGTAAACGCTTTATTAAGAAAATACATAAGCTTATCATCATAAAAAGAGAATTTGTTTTTAATATTCTGAAAAAATGAAATCCTCAAAAAAACAAATACCTAATAAATTTTGTTGCTCATTTTAAAAAAAGTATTTAATAAATATTATCTTATTCAAGTTAATGCAAATATACTTGTAAAATAGTCTTTTACTTATCAGAGAAATTAAATGCTAGGAAAGAAATTATAATGAGTGTTCTTATCATCAAAGGTATAACTTTTGACTCGTATAATTACCATCGACAATAATTAATTCCTGTTAGTTGAGGAATTGTTTGCTTGTAAGTTGCAAATTCTCGGTAAAATAAATTATCAAATATTTTTTATTAAATAACTATTATTAATAGTAGTATTATTTTTAAATATATATTTTTTTATTTTTATAGTATTTTATTTATACTTGATGCGCTCTGAAGTAAGGAACCTAAAAAAGAGAAAAAAATAAGTTCTTTTTTAATTATATAAAACTAAAGGGTAAGTCCACGTCAGAAATATCAGAATCTGCAAGTGGTTCTTCGATTTTAATGATACTTGGTAAAATTATAGCTTTATATAAGAGCAATGTGTGAGTAAAAGGAATTTTTAAAATATCTAAAATTATAGGAGTTATATCACTTTTAATTTTGATATTGCATTTTTTTCTTTCCTTTATATCTCGGTCAATTTTCAACCGATTTTGATGAATCAAAAACGATTTTTTTCAAAAAATTACGTATTTTCAGAAAATTTTAAAATAAAAATAAAATTTTGTTATTTAAATAGAAAAAAATAAAAAACAAAATTTCTTTTAGATTTTTTTTCAATTTCGACCTCTTTTTTTTAATTTTTAATTTTTTAATAATATTCCTTTTTATTTTATCTTTAATTTAAAAAAAAATTCATCCTGGAGACTTTTTTAGATCTCGTGATATCGTTCTTTAAATATCCACATCTCAAGAAAACTAGGATCCAGATTTGTGTTTCTACTTTCATTTGTTTTATAATATTATTGTTACAAACTAGAAAATTTCGCGTAATGTTTTTATTTTTAAATTACTTGACTAAAACAAGTGAAAATTCAAGCAAATCAATATTTTATTAATAGATTTAAAGCAAAGTTTTTATTTTTTGTAATATTTATAATTTAAAATAAATTGTAATAAAACCTTAACAATGCAACCTGAAATTGTAGCTGAAGTTTTTAGCGCTTTCTTTTAGAGGATTCTAAAACAAATATAGTTATTCATAACCATAAAATATTTCAACTAACAAATGAAAGTAATGATAGAAGCAAGTCCTGCGGTTTTCAAATTGATGAAAACTTATAATACTTAAAGGACGATATCACGAGATCTAAAAAAGTCTCCAGGATGAATTTTTTTTTAAATTAAAGATAAAATAAAAAGGAATATTATTAAAAAATTAAAAATTAAAAAAAAGAGGTCGAAATTGAAAAAAAATCTAAAAGAAATTTTGTTTTTTACTTTTTTCTATTTAAATAACAAAATTTTATTTTTATTTTAAAATTTTCTGAAAATACGTAATTTTCTGAAAAAAATCGTTTTTGATTCATCAAAATCGGTTGAAAATTGACCGAGATATAAAGGAAAGAAAAAAATGCAGTATCAAAATTAAAAGTGATATAACTCCTACAATTTTAGATATTTTAAAAATTCCTTTTACTCACACATTGCGCTTATATAAAGCTATAATTTTACCAAGTATCATTAAAATCGAAGAACCACTTGCAGATTCTGATATTTCTGACGTGGACTTACCCTAAAATCAATTTTTATTAATGTTTTTGAATATGTGACGCACTCTGAATCCTCTTTGTGTATTTTCAATTAAAAATTTTAAAACATAACCTATTTATTTATTTTTTTTTTTTTTGCTTCTAAGGTCCCTTTCTTCAGAGCGTGTCACATATATATAAAGAGTCAAAAAGAAAAAAAAATTCAATAATATCCCAAAAGAAGTTTTACTCTACGCTTTAAATTAAAAATAATTTGCTCTATTAAAAAAGAATTTTATAGGACAAAAATAAAAGTAAGTAAAAGAAGATCTAGAGAAAAAGTTTATGGAATATTTTAGAAAATATAAAAATTTCAAGAATGTCAACAATTACTACTGAGACAAATGATGATATGGGAAAAGTTGAGAAAATCACTGGATTGTTTCATTTTAAAACAAAGATTATTTGGTCATTTTTTATATATTTAACAACTGTGCACATTATAGCAATATATGGATTCATCACTTTTCCTTATGCGTCATCAAAAATGACATTTCTGTGGCGTAAGTTGATTTATAAAACAAATCCATATGAAATATTCTCATAACAAAACACTGTATATCATTCCAACAATTTTTTAACTTTAACAATAATTATCAATTGGCTAACATTTTTTTTTATCATTTTGTACTTTACAAAAAAGAGTTTAATACCTAATTATTATATATTCCGAGACATTTGTTTTCAAGCCAATCAGTTTCTATCCGAATCTAAATTTTAATGTAATCATTTTGAATCCTGAAATTTCATTTTGAATTAATCCCATATATTGACCTGAAAACGGATTTATTTGGAATAAAATTTCATAATTTAAAAGAATTAAAATAAAGCTTTGGATATTGATTCGGAATGAAATTTCAAGATTCAAAAGGTTTAAAATTAAACATTGAAATGAAACAGATTGATTCGGAATGATGCGAAAAAAATTTTTTTTGTTGAGAGTTACGAAGAAATTTAGATTCGGATAAAATTTCCCTTACAAAAATTTATAATAGACCTATAATTGATTTTCGATTATATTATTCTTACCATTTTTTCGTGACGATAGGTTTTTATGTTATTTTAAGAGAAAAAGTTATAAAATTAACTTGAAAAACATACATAAATATTAATGTTAGTTACATTTTTGAGGTTATCTTGCATTTACTTATTTCTAATTTTGTTGACAAAAGTAATGTCAAAAATGTATACAAATTTCCGAAAAATAATTCATTTTTAAAAATGGGTATAATATTATACCCAGGAAATTCTGGATATCACACTAATATCCAATAAAAATAAATATAATAAAAAACATAAAATAAACGGTTTTTTTTTTAGTAAAATATGTAAAATTTTCAAAAAAATGTATACAAAGTAAAACTACAACTTTCGTCTAAAAAATTATTTGAAATTTTTACATATTATTAACCCAAAAAAAAGAACAATGAATTTTGTGTCTTTTTATGGTTTTCACGATGAAAATTAAATTTGCGAGTATTTTTAGTATATGATTAGAAAAAAATCATGCAACCTTTTTTCGTAAAATAAAAAAAAATAAAAAAAAAAATGTTAGTCAACGATTAGATTACAAAAGTCTGGCAATAATATAATTTTTGAGAATTTTCATTCATCCCATGTGAGCGGTCAATATTATATTTTGTAGTTTTGCTTTGTGCAAATGTTGCCAAATTTGGAGAGACAGGAGGTATTCATCGACTTTGGTCTCATCGTGCTTACAAAGCCAAATGGCCACTTCGATTGATTTTACTATTTTCCTACTGCACAAATGGAGTGGTATAAACAATAATTGTTTTAAAGTCTATTTTATGAATAATTATTATTGTTGAAAATCAATAAACAACGTTAATTATTTGCAGTTGAGACCAATGGAATGGATAGAATTCCATCGTATTCATCATAAATTTACAGATACAGATGCCGATCCACATAATAGAAAACGAGGATTTTTCTTTTCTCATTTGGGTTGGTTGTTATTAAAAAAGCATTCGGAATATATTAAACAACAAAAGAAACTTGATTTGAGCGATTTGAATGATGATTGGATCATAAAATATGGCGAAAAGTATTTAGAAAACTTTTAAAACTAGTATAAAGTTGTATACATAGTAACTATATTTAAAACAATTTATTTAAAGGTTTGCTTATCCATTAATGATAATGTGCAGTTTTATTATACCAATAATTGTGCCAGTATATTTATGGAATGAAAGTTGGCGTTTATCATTAATTGCAGTTATTATGCGATTCGTTTTGGTGGGAAATATCACGTTATCTGTAAATAGTGTCGCACATTTTTGGGGAATGAAACCTTATGATCGGTAGGAAAATTATATAAATATAATATATAATGGCTGTTTTCGGCGTTCACCCTGGGTTAACCCAGAGTTAACGATGGTCCAATCATCATTAACATTCTGTTGGATCTACCAATCACAATTAACTCAGAGTTAACCCAGGGCGAACGCCGAAAACAACCAATAAAAGCGCTCTGAATTTAGGGATCGATAAAAATCACTAAAAAATTATAGGTTATGTTAACGAAGTTTGATACGAAAATACCAAGAGCGTAGGAATGAATTTTTTCTAAATGGGCGACAAAAATATGTTTTTGCCACCCTCAGAAAGTGGAAGAAAATTTCAAAATGTTATTTCTAATAGGATTTTAATAGAATTTCCCTCAAATAGAGTTAGATAGGAAAGGAAACAATTTTTCATAATTCACAGTTGAATCTAGGAATAGAATAACATTTTGTTGTAAAATAGTTATAATAAAAAATAATAAATTTTTAGAAACATAACACCAGTGGAAAATAAAGCAATAGCAATTCTAACACTAGGTGAAGGATGGCATAATTATCATCACGTCTTCCCATGGGACTATAGTGCACAAGAACTTCCGATGTATGGCTTAAATGTAACAACATTTTTAATTGACATGTTTTCAATAATCGGATGGGCATATGACTTAAAGAAACCAAGTTCAGAATTAATAAAAGCAACATGCTTGAAAAGAGGTGACGGAACTCATCACATTTGGGAACAAGAGGTACAAAATAAGCATACCTAGCAGGCAGTTAAAATTTTAAAAATATATTTTAGTCAACTTTTTATCATTTGAAATTTATAATAGAGAATTATATATATTATTATTATATATATATATATTATTATTATTATGATTAAATTAAATTAGAGTATAGACAAAGAGAATTGAAACATATCCCTGCTTACGCTAAACTTATCCCCACTCTAGCGCCACTAAACGTAATTCCCATAGTCCCCACCAGGCGTCCGAATAGACGATTGTAGATCAATAACGGTCAGGTAAGGTATAAGCAGAAGGTTAACTATACGATTATCATATTTATTAAAATTTAAGTGAAAAAAAATAGTCAAAAATAATAAAGAAATATTGATAAAAATAAAATAAATATAAGAAATAAATCATTAAATTATATGAAAATATACAAGTTTGGTATATATAACAAGTAACAGAAAATAATATTTTGATCATATAATAAGAAAGCGCCCTCTCGCGCAACTCTAGTGTGCACGCTTCCTAGTCCAAAAATATATTTACTACTGTAAATACCAAACATTTCAGATTTAGGGACAATATTGATATAGTCTTTTTAAATTGTAATATCTCATTTTATTTATCGCTATATAGTTACAAAAGTATAACTCCTTTTCATGTAAGAAGAGAGACAGTTAATATTTAAGAGATGTACCAATTTTAATAGAAGAAAATTGTTCACCACAAGCGCTCATCTCGCGATTAAACTAATTTCTTAATGTGTATAGCGACCTTAAAATATACGTTCTTACGCAATTGTCGTAATACTATAGATTTGCGAACGTAATGCCTTTTCAAGGTCACCGGCATGTGATGAGTAAGACTCTGAAACATTTATATATACAAAAATGATTCTTTAATTATTACATTTTTAATTATATTATAAAGAAGAAAAATACTTTGATTTTAAACTCATTGAAATATTCGACAAGCATTTATAATGCATTTTGAGACCCTATAGACGCCTCTTAACACTTATATGATGTGTTTTTGTATATAGAGATAAAGGTTATCGGTTAGAGAAGTGTTCTGGCCAGTAGTGCTTATGCACTCGAAGTGATAAAACGCGGTGTGTGTGTAATAAGAAAAAAAAATTTAATTACCCTGAAAAACTTTATGGCGAACACTGAGGCTTTCATAAAAAAAAATAAAAGTGAATTTTTAATGTATTTCTTTTTTAATATCTCGACCGAACAATATTAAAAAAAAAAACAAAAAAAAAAAAGTGTCAACAGTGAGAAAAAAAGAAAAACCATGGAAGTGAAATGGAGAATTTTACGTACTTTATTGTGGAAAAATTATTTGACTCGTAAAAGATATTATAAGCAAATTATTTTTGTTCAAATTTTATTTCCCCTATTTATTTTTGTACTATTACAAAAAGCACGATCACCAAAATGGTATTCCAAAGAAGAGGGACTTGTCACTTATAATGATATTGAAACAAAGCACGCTCTTCTAAAAGATTTAGAGGATTTTCATTTGTATTATACACCGAAAAATAATTTTACCGAAAAATTAATAAATAGTACAATTAAATGTCTCTCTCTTTCACCAGACAGTAAGTATAAAAAATAATTATTAAAATTTTATATTTTGAAATCATTATTTCTTTATTGTATTATTATTGATTTTATTTACCATATTATTATTATTAAATAAATAAAAAATTTTAAGAACAATTATTTCATTTTTTTTTAAATTTTAAAAATTTAATGTATGTAAAAAATAGTAAATTTACAAGAACTTTTGTGGTTTTTGTATAAAATATAAAATGTGTTAATGACAAAAATGAATATAGTTCGATGTAAATGAAATTAATGGCAAAAAATTTTTAATTTAACACAAAAAGGAAGTGAAAGTAGAAAGTTTAAATTTAATATTTTCGGATAACTTTCGAATGTGAAAATATGAATGAAATTTTTTCATATATTTGTCTTCCTCGGCACTATAGGAATAATATTCCAAAATCGCCACTTTTTTTTTTTAATTGCAATATAGACCTAATTGATTATTTTTACCACATAATATTTAATAGCAGGTCACGGATTATACGACTTTTTCAACTTTTTCTTACTTTTTTTCTCGAAAATACGACTTTTTTCGACTTATTTGAATATGATGCGACTTTTTCGACTTTTTTTTTTACAAAATTTTTAAACAAAATACAAATTTTATCTAAATTAATTATTTTAAATAATTTTAATAAAATTCTTCATAAATTCAATTATCTTAAACTATTTTTCAATTAAAAGTTTTATGAAATTTAATGTTTACAATTTAAAAAAAATCAAATAAAATTATCAAAAATTTCAATTTAAATTTTTTTTGAAATATTCTTCAAAAATTCAATTATTTGAAAGCATTTTTCAATTAAAAACTTTTAATAATTCAATTTTTGTCTTTTTATTTCTAATAAATTCTTTATCAACAGAATTAACAAAAAATTTCAATTAAAAATCACTTGAAGTTTAAAATTCAAAAATATGAATATTGTAAATTTTTGAAAAATTTAATTACTTTTAAAAAATGTTATCTATAAAAATTATTTTGCCAAAAATTATTTTCAATTCTGTAAAATTTCATTATTGTCTGAAATTTAATTATTTCTAAAAATTTCAACTATAACTCTTACGAAATTCAATTATTTTTAATAATTTTATAATTTCTTTTTTAAAATTCAATTACCTATTTAAAAAAGTTTCAAATAAAAACTCTAAAATTGAAATTTTTTAAGAATTTTTTTTTAGAAATTAACATTAGTTATTTAAAGTGAAATACTTATTAACTAATTAAATGTAATTAAAATAAAATAATCGACTTTTTTTTGGAATGTAAATCGACCAAAACGACTTTTTTTTACAATTAGCCTTAAAGTCGATCCGAGGCCTGAATAATAATAATAATAATTTTTTAATATTATTTCTTATAATTTATTAAAAAAATATTGAATTAAAATTTTTTTTTAAATGCATTTTGAACCATTAACAAGATTTTTATGGTCTTGAATGCGATATGTATAAAATTGCAATAGCTTCATATCTCAAATTGACAAGATAATTATTATCAAGAAACATGTAAAATAAAAAAAAAAGACACGAATTGTATGTGAAATACAATGTTTTTCCAGATGTAACTGCATTTAAATCCGAAGAAGCCATGTTAAAAAATTATTCATATGATCATGGTTTCGATATGTATGATGTAAAAATTCTTGGAATTATTTTCCAAAATACATACGATGAAAAAGAACTTGATTATGTACTGAGATCATCTTTCGATACACCGACAAATTCAATAGGAGGCGTTTTTCAAGGTTACGGTCATTATTATATACGGCAATGTTTTACCACACGAATTCCATATATTCAAACACAAATGTGTCTCGATGAATCATTTATCAATATGTCTATATCAAATCCTTATTTTACACCTAAGGTAATTAAACCATATCAACTTTTACCCTTTTTTTTTTTGTTTAATTATAAATTAAAAATATATTCAAAATTTAAGAATAAGTTTTGGCTTCTATTTAAATTAATAAAAATTATTATTAATCATAAATTATTTTATTATTCAAAATATTGGATCAGGATTTCTCAAATGGATCACATAAAATTTTCAACAATGTTAATTCTTTTTTTTTTTACTTCTATACTATTATAAAAATAAATAAGTTTCCAAAAATATTAAACCAAAAAATTTTTTTTTTATTAACAATTGTAACTTGTAACTTAAAAAAAAAAATTTTCAAGTTAACTAATTCAAAAACAAAAATTTTCCTAGTCTTGGAAGGTAAAAAATAATTTTTTTTCGCCATTGACATGAAAAAGTGTCTTTTTTGTGCCTGTTTTGGGCAGATAAAGTAGCACTTTTTAAGGCAGTTTGGGCCAACTGCCTAAAAAAGACTTTTTTAGGCAGCAAACTGCCGTATAAAGTCTTTTTTAGGCAGTAAACTGCCCTATAAAGTCTTTTTTAGGCAGTTGTTAATTTTTGCATAATTTTTTTTTTTGCTTTTATTTTATTTATCAATTTTTATTATTTTTTTTCTTTAAAATTGTTTCACTTTTTCATAACAATGGCGAAAAAAATAGCGTATGTGGCTCGCACGTAGTAATTTTTAGGTTCGGATGATTTCAATACTCGCTGTCTGTGCGACTTCGGTTCGACTCGGCTCGCTTTCGGCTCGACTCGACTCGCCTTCGGCTCGTCTTCATCTCACCTACAGCTCGCCTTCGTCTCACCTACGTCGCACTAACGACAGCTCGTACTGAAAATTACATCCTCACCTAAAAAGTACTACTTTACGTGCTTGCCACATAATATACTATTGTATGAACATTTTTTTATTTTAAATCAATTATTTATTTATAAAATTTTAATAATAAAAAAAAACACAGAATTGTATAGTAATACTATGTAAACTTTACAAATTGTTTTATATTCCTCATACATTTTACAATGTAAAACTTTTTATTTATTATTTTTATTATAAATAAAAAATTAAATAAGTTATATTAAATAATATACTTTAATTTTATATTTTAATATTGTTTATTACTCTTTGTATTATCATTTTTATTCACTGTTTGGTTTTTCCAGTTTTGCGGTGGAAAAAAAAATTATAAAACTTTGTACTACTTAATAACAATAATTATTATAAATAATAATTACGTGTATGAAGACGTAATTAAACGCCAATTGCGCATCGTTTTCAATAAAGAATATTGATTATTGATTATTCAATTATTACATTATAATTAAATAATTTTTATTAAATAACTTTTTTTTATTAAAATTTTATTACATTTTTTCTTATTTTTTTATTAACTTTTTATAAATAAACAATTTCTTTTTAGCCAACTTTTCTTTAAATTTTTCTTTTTTTTTTTAACAAATTATGTATTTTTCGTTTTATAAAACAAAAATAAATAAAATTTTTTAATTTTAATTGATCCGTTTAAATAATCCAGACCACATTTTAAAAATAACAAACTTTTTAAATCAAAAAATATTGTTCAATTTTCTTTTAAGAATATTTTTTTACAATTTTCACAAAAAAAATAATATAAACGTTCTAATTATTATATAAGAATAAAATTTAGATTATTTTATTCCTAAAAGTCAAAATATATTCGTAAATTGTAATGAATTATATATTTTTTTTAATCGTGCACGCTGCGAGATACGGAATTATTTTACAATTTGTAAAAAAAGGTTTTTCCTATCAAGAAATTTTACATCAAAATTCGAAATTTATAATGACTGCGTGATGATAATATTTATATTGATAATATACACACGTGTTTTTTTTATAAGAGAAAATTATTTTCTGATAATATCAGTTCATTTGACCAGAGATAAACTTCACACTATTTTTTTTTTAATACTCTGTTATTGCACATTTTATAAAATGACTAGCATAAATAATAATTGCACGTGTCTCGCACGCGGGAAATCGAATTTTATGCTCAGAAACAAGTTTCATTGAATGAAAGGAATTTTTGCAAAAATAAAATAATTGTTTTTATTATAATAAGGAAAAAGTTATTATTATGAAAATTCTTTTTTTTTAACAAATTTATTTTTTTTTTTAATATAAATATTCAATATGTAGTATATAATTATGGATTTTAAATCAAATTGAATTAAATAATGAAAAATTATATTCTTTCAAACAAATGAATATAACAAAATTAAAAATAAGTATTTATTTTTTGAATTAAAAGGAAACTTTTTTCTGAACAATAATTAAAAATCACTTTTTTGGGGAATAAACTAAAATTATTTATAATTAAAATTTTTTTTAATTATAAATTAAAATTTCATAAATTTTAACAAAAATTATTTTTATTTTTAAAAAAATGACATTTTTATAGATGTCTATACAAAAATATCCCGAATACAGTAAGGTACAATTACGTTCAAGCGAAGAAATATCAAGATTTTTCTTCGCCACATCAGCGGTAGTTCTATTTTTAATAACTGTGATTACAGAATCTTCATTTTCTGCTAAGGAGAAATACACTGGAGTCAATGTTAGTAATGAATGAACATTTTTGTTTTATTTTACCATTTATATACTGTATTATACATACGAGTCGCATAAATATTCCTTAAATCTCATTTGGAATAAAATATTTAACATAAATCTCACTTTACATAAAATATACACTGAAAAAAAAATTTATTTGATTCAAATATTCGATTACTTATAACTATTATCAAATAAATATTTATTTGTATCAAATAATTATTATTTAAGATGGTATTTCTCTTAAATACAATTTACTTAATTCAAATAAAAATTATTTGGTTCAAGTAAATATTTATTTGATAATAGTCAAGTAATCGAGTATTTGAATGAAATAATTTTTTTTTTTTTCAGTGTACTTTTGGTATAATTTTTATTTTCGTATCTTTCTCATTTGACATAAATTTTAAATGTTATAATTATCAAAAAAAAAAAATTTTTGCCACAAATATTATTGGCATAACTTTTATTTAACAAAAAACGCCTTTGGCATAAATTTTTTTTATATGAATTAAATTTGAAATAAATAATAATAACTTTTTTTCGACGAGGCTACTTTTTTTACTACTAATTTTGTTCAAAAGCAACTAAATGCTACTTTTTTCAAAAAATAATTTTAAAAATGACAAAATTCAAGAATTATAAATTTTATAAATTTTTTGATTCCTATAAAATCTCGACAAGTTGATGATTTATTATTGGCCGCGTGAATTACTGCTTTATATTTAATTATTTTTACATGAATTTTCATTTTTCTAAATAGCATTTAACATAATTTCTTTTTAAACGACCTTTTACGCGATAGAATTTTTAATTTGTCAAATTATTTTGACGGAATTTTTATTTTACAAAATTTCTCTCTACTCAACCGTTTTTTTAAAAATAATTCTACCGAAATTCGGACAATAATTGAATTTTAGAGAATTTTTAATTAAAAATTGTTTTATTTAATTGAATTTTTCAATACTTGGATAAAATTTATTGAAATTATTAATTTAGCAAAGAATTTTAGATAAAAATTTTAAAAATAATTGAATTTTGGAAGATTTTTCGAAATAATTGAATTATTGGAGAATTTTTTAAAAATACTAAATATTTTATATAAGCTTCCGATTCCAAGTTCTAGGATCGAATTACTTAAAATTCTACTGAATGAGAATTCTAATAAATTGAAAATAGGTTAAATTAGAATTCTTTTCAAGAAACAGTTGGGTAAAGAGAAATTTTGTAAAATAAAAATTCGATACTTTGAAAATTTCTTTGGGTAAGCATTCGTTTAAAAAAAAATTCTTTATTAAATGCTATTGTGTAAAATAAAAATTTATGTGGAAAATCATTTTTATGGAATAATCATAAGCTTCTACCGTTGTGCTGCAAAAACAAAAAGTTAATCGAAATTTAACAATAGTTTTTTTTTAAAAATAATCATGAGAAAAATTATGTTAATTTTATTCCTCAGAAGTTTTCTTTCAATTTTTTTAGACAAGAAAATATTTATACTTTAACATCAAACTTAGCTATTTTAAAGATGGCACTGTTTTGATATACTTTTTTTCAATTTTAGGGATATATATTTTTTTTTTAAAAGTAATACTTTTCTTAGCCTCTTACTGCGCTTCTAAGCCTGTAATAATAATAAATAATCATTTTTAATATAAAACTCATGACATTAAAATTTTTTTTGATATAAATTTATTTCTTCAAATTTTATGTTTTATTTTTATGACATATAAATATTATGTTAAATGTGTATTATGTGATGTAAAATTTATGTTAAATGAAAATTAATTTCAAGTGAATTTTATTACAAATGGGATTTAAGAAATATATATTATGAATAAATAATAATAAAAAGCAAAAAATTATAATGATTTTACAGATATTAATGAATTTAAAAGGAATACATTTTTATGAGAATTTATTCAGTTGGTTAATCACTGGTATATTGCAAGGCATAATTTTTTCAACATTAATTATAATTGTAATGACACAATGTTTTGAAAATCCAATACTTTCTTATGGAAATTCATTTATTATTTGGCTATTTTTGATTTTCCATTTTGGTCATTTAACTGCATTTGGAATGCATATTGCATCTTATTTTTCAAACAGTAAGTTTTTTTTTATATTTTACTTTTTATATTATTTCATTTTTCAGTTTTATATCTTTATTTTATATTTTTTATATTTTATTTATTAAATTTTTTTGTATATTTTAAATCAAAATAAATTGAAAGGATGTACAATAGTAAAATGAATAAATTTTCCTTCATTATGAAGAACAAGAAAAAATTCGTATAAAAATTACAATTGAGAAAAATAAAATGTTTGAATAGAATTTTGATAAAATAAATAGATAAGATTTCTGTTTTTTTTTAACAAGACAAATTTGAAAAAGAAAATTTTCCATATAGAAGATAATTATTAGGAAGTATATAATAAGTAAACGCAATTTTTGTTGAATTGAAAAGTATATATAACACTGCTGCATAAAAGTATAAATAATATATAATTATAAAAAAAATATTTTTATTTTTGTAATTGTTTGCTCTACTCTTTATTACAGCTCTAACAATGGAAATTGTTATTACTATCTTGTACGTTGGATCTTCTATGTTTCAAGCGGATTTAATAGATAGTTATATATTTGCATTGATACCATACTTGGGTATCATTTTTCCTAATATATTATTATTTAGAATGTTTCAAGAAATGGATAATTATGAAACTTTAGGTACAAAATTTTTATAAATATTAATATTTAAAAAAAAAAAGATTTGATAAGCAAATAATGAAGCACATGATAAAATTTAATGATAATAATTGTAATGAGTTTTTCCTATAATCACACATTTGCGATAAAATTATGAAATTATAAATTGTATGAAATTTAATATAATTGCTATAAATAGATTTTTATTTAATTTACAAATTTTTTTATTTGAATTTAAAAGTGCAAAAAAAAAACTTTTCAAATTAATTTTCTTATCAAAAATATTAATTGTGAAATTATTTATTTATTTTTTTTAGCAATAGGAGTTCAATGGAGTAGCATGTTTCGAGTTTCAGATGCTCCTTATACAGCAGCAGGAAGTATTGGAGTTATGATAATTTTTTCAATATTAGGCACTGCCCTGCATTTTTTTTCATGCATTTATATTAATATTGTGTTCCCGGGAAAATTTGGACTTAAACATCATCCATTTTACCTTTTACAGGTAAAATTTTATTATTTTTTTTTTTGCAAAATTAAGATTATAGATAAAATTACAAAATTACATTTTTTTTTATTTACAGAAAAAAGAAAATATTTATAAAGAATTAGAAGAAGAATTAGATGAATTTAATTATAATAATGAGAATGGAAAACCTTTTGAAAAAGTACCAAAAGGCGTTTTCACTCCTGGCATTCAAATTCGAAATGTTACAAAATCTTATACAACAAATTTATTTAACAAAAAGGTATATATCGATAAAATTAAAATAAATATATAATTTTTTTGGATAAAAAATTAATTTTTTAAATGTTTGATTAGGAAAACGAGGCTTTACATGGAATATCGTTGGATATTTATAAAGGTCAAATTACAACTTTATTAGGACGTAATCGCTCGGGAAAAACCGCATTGATGTCAATATTAACAGGTTTTTATGCAATAAACAAATAAACATTTTTCAACTACAATGAAATAGTTTATTATATAGTATTTGTTTGATGAAACATTTCTTGTCGGATCAAAGTTTTCATTTTATGTAACTTTGAATAAAATGTATTTTCTTTTTTATTTAATCGGACAAAAAAATATTTTTCTTTTTTTTTAATTCAATATTAATGGATATTTTTCTGTTTTTATTTAAAGGAATATCTGAATCAAACGAAGGAATTGTCTTTATAGATGGTAAGAGAATAAATGATTTCTTTAAATATTTCTCAACAGACTTAAGTTTCTGTCCTCAGGAAAATATGTTTTTTCTTGATCTAACTGTAATGGAGCAAATCGAATTTTTTGGATTGGTGAGTCATGATAAATATTATTATTATTATTATTTATATTTTGCATTAAAAACTTGATTTTTTTATATAAAAAATATAAATAAATAATTTCTTAGCTCAACTGTATAAACAAAACTGAAGATGAACGCAAAATGTTATCTTTTAACGTTGAAAAATTAATGAAGAGACTCAATATTTATGATAAACGAAACTCTTTACCCAAAGAATTATCTTTTAGTGAACAAAGAAGATTGTGTCTTGGAATTTCATTAATATCCGATTCAAAAGTAAGATTTTTTTTTTAAAATTAATATTTAATATTTTAATTTAGGCCTCGGATTATACAATTTATTCGACTTTTTTGACTTTTTTTTTACATTTTTTATAAAATTTTTAAACAATTAAAATACGTTTTTTTTAGTATATAATGCAGATCTTCTTCAAATATTCTTTATTTCAATTATTTAACAAATTTTTAACTAAAATTCTTCTCTGAATTAATTATTTCTAATAATTATAAAAAAAATTTTCACAAATTCAATTTTTCAATTAGAAATTTAATAAAATTCCAATAATTATTTAAAATTTTTTAAAAATCAAATAAAATTACCAAAAATTTCAATTCAAAATAACTTGAAATTAAATTATTTTCAAAAATTTCAAATTAAAACCTTCTAAAATTTAATAATTTTAACTATAAATTTTCGAAAATTCAATTATTTTTAAAAAGGTTATCTAAAATTATTTGATAAATTATTTTCAATATTAATATGTAAAATTTAATTATTGTCGGAAATTTAATAAAATCTTTTGAAATTCAATTATTTCTAAAAATTTTAACTGTAACTTTCAAAATTTAATTATTTTTAATGATTTTTATAATATTCTTCAAAAATTTATTTATTAAAAAAAATTTCAAATAAAAACTCTAAAATTGAATTGTTGTCAGAGAGAGAGAAAAAAAAAAAAAAAAAAACTACAACAGTTTAAATTTGCAGAAAATTTATTTAAAATTTAAAATCTTCTACAATTCAGTTATTTAAAAAAATGTAATTTAAAAATCTATAAAACTTAAGTATTATATGAAATTTTTTTGACCACTAAAACTAAAACTATGTCCAAATTTTTAATTCGAATAAATTGCTTAAATATTTTTTTTACTTCAAAAAATTCTAAAAGTGGAACTTTTTTAGAAATTTGTCCTACTTCATTAAAATTTTGACTTTTTTTGCGCTTTAAAGTCGTTCCGAGGTCTATATAATTAAAAACCTAGAAGTAAATATAATATGGATAAATAAATAATTACAAATATTTAATTAAACAGATTTTAATTATGGATGAACCAACAGCAGGAATGGATTCGAAAAGTAAAAGAAATACTTGGAATATGTTACTGGTAACAATGAGTTTATCATTCTTTTTTTTCAAATATTTTTATATCAAATTAATTATAAAATTAATTTAAAAATTCAAAATAAGTGAAATAATAATAATAATAATTACTAATTAGGAAATGAAAGGCGAAAAAACAATTTTGATCAGTACAAAAGATACAGAAGAATCTGATATACTCAGTGACAAGATAGCAATTCTTCATCTAGGAATATTAAAGGGTTACGGAACATCGACATTTTTGAAGAAAATATACGGTTGAATATAATTCCTACAAAAATAATACAATGTTATTACAATATTGTTGAAATATTGGAAAATTTTTTCAAAATAGAATTTTATCTTTAATTAATAAATTAATTATAAATTTGCAGGTCAGGGAAATATTGAAATTACACTCTCATTAACAACATGGTGTAATACAGAATCAATAAGACAAGAATTGGGTGTAGAAAGTGAAATTCTTAAATTAGAAGACGATACTATGATTTTATGTGTTCCATGTTCAGAAAAATTAGTCGAATCATTGGATAAAATTGAAAATCAAAAGAGGGAATTTGGTGTGACAGCGATAAAAGTCTCTCTCATTACATTAGAACAAGTTGTTCTAAAGTAAGCAAATTATTTTATTTTAATATTAATATAATATTCCATTCCAACATTCGTTTATTTTGAAATTTTTTTATTTTTTGATACATTTTTTTATCTTTTTCTACTTTATAAAAACAGGTCCCATGATTTTTTACGAATTTCTTTTATCAAGCATTTTACAAGATATAAATTTTTCAAAATTTCAAATTAAAATTTTTTTTTTTTTTTGAATTCTTATAATTTTCTTATAAAAATGCATCAATTTAAAAAATGCTGTTTGGAAATTACGTGTTTTTAAATTAATTTTTTGAAACAAGTATAGTTTTTTTTTAAACATAGTAAAGCAGGTTTTAGTCCTCAAAAAGTGAAAATAACAAATTATTATTAATATACAAGGATTTTAGAATTTATTTTTGAACAATTTATGAAAATTTGTTTTTAAGTTAGAATTTTTTTTTGAAAACTTGTATCTTAAAATCTTGATTTTATTCATAATTTTAAATTTTTTAAAAAAAAATTTTGCCTCAAAAATATGCTATCAATTGAATTTAGAAAAATTGATTATTATTCATAAATTCATTATTTATTTTTGAGTTATATTTTTTAAAAAATTTTATTATTTTATTTTAACTCAAAAATTATATATTAAATATTTGGTAAATGAATTGAGTTCAGAAAACTTTTATATAAATGTTTTAAAAAAATGGAAAATTTCTTAAATGTTTGTTGAAAAACGTTTATTATTTATTTATTTATTTTTTTTTTAATGTAATTTGAAATTTCTTTTTTTCAAGAGTAACAAAAAAAGAAGAAGATATTGACTTGACACGACCATTTGTAAATTCAGCCTATAAATTAAAAGATCGTGAATTATTATTGCAATCTGCATTTGCATTAATTGAAAAAAATGTTACAATTGTTAAAAGAAATTGGAAAATTTTTCTCATAATGGTGAGCATCATTAATAGTTTATAAATAATTTAATCTTCAATACTAATATTGATAACCATTATATTCATAATTTTATAAAGTATTAATTTCAGATGGCACTTCCCTTGATTAGTTCATTATTTATGATAATGAATTTTTCATCAATGAATACAGTGAGAGAATTAAAACACATATCACTTAATTTCTACAATGATCCTCAAGTTATGCTTGCCACCAATAATGAAACTCTCAGTCGTGAAACAAAATCATATGTCAATCGTTTTCATGCAAAATTGACTGAAATTGATTCAAAAATTAATATGAACGATGGTAAACAAAATTTACAAATCAACATTTTACATTTAAAAAAACATATTAAAATTTTTTTGTGTAAATTGGAATATTTTAATTTCAATGTAGTTGGATTTAAAATATTATATATCGAGATTTTCATTAAAAAAAAATTTTTTTCGAAATCTTTTTATGAAAAATAAGAAAATACGTATTTTCATAACATATTTATATTAATAAATGTAATTAAAAATTTTTTTCAGCACTTGTGAAATTTTCAACAAAAGATGTTGCAGCATATCGTAACAATTTAGTAACGGCTATTGAATTAAATGTCACTGGAAAATCAATGAATGCTAATGTTCTTTATTCGGAAACGGCTGGATTTAGTTTGCCAATTGGAATGAATATTATTTCAAATGCACTAATTAGATCATATGGAGGAAATGAATATGAAATCAGTATTTCAGATCATCCACTACCACAATTAAGATCATATTCCTCGTACGATTTATTTACATTATCACTTTTATTCACAGTTTTTTTATATCCGGCTATAGCATTTTTTGGCATACATCCATCGCAAGAAATTTCTTCTGGTTTAAAGCATCTTCAAACAATGACTGGAATTCCATTAGTAATTTATTGGGGCTGTCAATTTATTGTTGATTTCATTGTTTTTCTTGTTTTTATTATTTTTTGTCTTATTGGATTATCCACTGTTGATCACGTTGTTGGTCTTGAAGTTTATTGGTCAACTGAGCTCGGTAAGTTTTTTAAAATAATAAAATAAGAATTCGAAATTTTTTACAAAATTTTTAAATAATTAAATATCTAATTTAATTTTTGAACGACAAATGGACAAAAAAAAATATTAAAAAAAAAATTTTTTTTTCTCTATTCAGAACTAAATTCTAAACAGATAATGTGACTGTTGATTTTAGAAATGTAAAAAATATTGTGATTTTTTATACTTTTTTTGTCTATTATTTTATAGAAAAAATATTTTTAAATAGTTAATATTACATAAAAATTAATTACTAGAAATTTCTAGAAATCTTTATAAAAGATTACTATTTTTTATTTTTCTTTGGACTATTTTTATTAAATTTTTTTTTATCAATCAGTTATTTTGCATTAAAAATTTTTTTTTCTTTTTTTAGACAAAATTCTATAAACATTTTCACTCTATAGAGATTTTTGTTCAAAAATAAATCGCATTTTTTTTTTTTTTACAAATAATGTTTTATATAAGCCTACCAGAAATTCTTCTCTCGTGAAAAAGTTATTTTGCAATCAACTTTTTTTCATAAACAAAATATATAAACAATTTATTTAAATAAACAAATAATATTACAAAAACTGTAATTTTTATTTCAAAAATAGAAAAAAAGAATGATAATTTTTTTTTAAAACCAATTTTGTTTTTTAAACCAAAACTATAATTTTAGATAAAAATTTTTATCGGGGCCAATTTGAAACTTTTAACAAAACTATTTGAATTATTTCATTTTACAATTTTTTTCAAAATTTTTAGTTTTTTTCGACTTTTGAATGTTAAGAAAGGAAAATTTTTTTTTATAAATAAAAATAAAATAATTCAAAACAAAACATATTTTTCGTAAATTGTATTTTAATATTAATTTGTTTATAAAAATAAGAAAGTTAATAGTAAAATAAATTTTTCAATGATAATTTTTTTAAGAAGCTTAGATATTAAAAATTATACTTAAAAAATTAAATTTATAAATATCCAATCCAAAATGTCCGTAGAATGTAGGAATTATTTATATAATTTGTTTTAAAAAAATAAAATTTATTGCAAAATTATTGTTTGATTAAAAAAAAGGTTTAATCAGACTAGTCCAAAGTGAATTTTTAATAAACAAAGCAATTTTTTTTATTTACAACAAAAATAACGCATTTGCAAAAAAAATATAATTAAACTTTTTACAGGTATTGTAACATTGTTATTAATATTACTTGGAATTAATGCTCTACCGATGGCGTATATTTTCAGTTATTTGAAAATGTCAAAGTCTAATGTCATTTTTAGCTTAGGACTCTTGCCATTTTTATTATGTAAGTTTGAAAATTGTTTAAAATACTTTTTTAAATAATACCATAATTATATATATATATATTTCTATGTGCCATTACAGAAGTTTTTTTTAATCACATTTCGGAGGAACATCATAAATTTTAATGAAACTTTCTAATATGTTGAATTTATATTGGTGAGATTAATGTGATAAAAAAAAAACTCCTGGAAAGGCACCAATATAATTAATATTTGTATGTATTAATAATATTAATATTTATTATTTATAATTTGTTTAAAAAGAAGAAAATATATTTTTTTATTTTACAGTATTGATAGAGGGATTCTTTTGGCTTTTAGAATTGGATTCCTATCCCTACTATTACAATTATGAGAGTGATACTTATGAAAGAAAACATAATACCTTCTTTTATTTTCGACAAATACAAAAACGATTCTTTCAACTTATTCCACATATAAGTTTCTTTCATGGACAAGTTGCATTTTTAACAACAGCCATTGAAAATGCTCATTGTCGCTATTTAGTACAACATGATATTGCTGATCATTTTTTTGAAGAATATTGCGAAGGTAAGTTTTGTATCTATATAAAATAAGAGCAGGGGAAATTTTCCCAAAAAAAATTTAAAATATATTTTTCCCTGACAAGTGAATAAAAAAGAAAAATCATCTTTTATAATTGAATAACGAAAATAATAAATTTTACAGATTTAGAATGCCATGGAGGATCTTGTAAAAAGAGTCTACCATATTTTGGTAGAACTCCCAGAATCTCCCATGCTGAAATACAATTAGAGGAATGTTTCATATTTTTGTGTTTAACTCCACTTTTATATTTTGGTATTCTAGCAGCAATAGAGAATAAATTTTTACAAAAATTATATATCAAATATTTTAATAAGATTCAAACTTCAAATAATGAGGAAATTGACGATCAAGTTAAGGAAGAAAAATACACAGTGGGTTTCGAAATCAATAAATTAAGAGCAGAAAGTAAGTGAAACAAATTTTTAAATCCAAATTTCATCTATATTATTTATTATTATCGTTGAATTTTTGTTTATTGGCATTTTTATGTTAATAATTGTGAATGCGGATTTAAAAGAAAAAGAATTTAATTAACGTTTAGAAAATTAAAATATTATTATTACTAATATCCACTGGAAAAATAGATACCAATTTCCAAGAAAAAAAAAATTATTTACTTATACATTTTGCATATGATCAAAATTTTCTAGACGCCTTATTTTGACCTTAATCTCAAAAGATCAAATTCCATAAAGTCGAATAACCATTTTATCAAATTATTAAAAGTTCGAATTACAAAAGGACAGAATTTTTAGAAATTCGAATTATCAAAAAAGCAAATTTTCAAAAGTTTGAATTAACAAGAGATATAATTTTCAAAAATTCGAATGTCTAATTAATAGAATTTCTGAAAGTTCGAATTATCAAGATCCAAATTTAAAAATTTCGAATTAAAAAAATATAGCATTCGATTTTTTGATAATTCGAAATTTTAGAAGTTTTATATATTTTGTATTAAACCAAGTCCACTTCTGGGCCGAAAGGCTGAAGCTTAATTAATAAATAATAAGTTTTAAATTTTGGTAATTCAAACTTTTAACAATATAAAAATTTGATCTTTTTGTTATTCAAATGTATAAAAATTAAATCTTTTGATAATTCGAATTTCTAAATATTCGATTTTTTTTTTTTTTTATTCAAACTTTTAGAAATTCGATCTTTTATAGTAATTTGAAGTTTTAAAAATTCATTAAAAAAATGGTTATTCGACTTTATAGAATTCGATAATTATTTATTTGTACAAATAAATAATTTTTGTAAGTTTAAAATTTTTTTTCTTAAAAATTGATATTTGTTCTTCAAACTAATATTATTAATATTTCAAATTTTTTAAACATCAATAAAATATTGTTTTTGAAGAATTGTATTCCTAGGTATAAACGTTTTTCAAAAAAAAAAAAAAAAAATGAAAATATTTTCAGGTGCTTCAAAAAAAGCTAATAAATTGGTGACGGAAACGAGAGTTGAGGGCGATACTGCATTTTTAGCCTATGAACTCAATAAATGTTATAAATCAAAACAAATAATAAAAGATGTTAGTTTCTCTGTTAAATCTGGCGAATGTTTTGGATTACTTGGCGCGAATAGTGTGGGAAAAAGTACAATTTTCAAAATTATTAATGGAGAAGAATTAGCGGACAATGGTGATATGTTTTTAAAAGGATATGGCATATCCTTTGATAAAAAGGAGGTAATATTCATAGAAAATTATTTGGAATTTATTTTCTTTATTTTTTTTTTTTCACAGAAAAGTCAGATAATTATATTTCGACTAAAGTTGTTACGGACTAATTTAAAAATAAATTAAATAAAATATTCATTTTTTCAAAAATAATTCTCTACGATAGAGAATAAAATTATATTTTTATTATTTCTCAAACTATGAATTTTAATTGAATAAGATGCTAAAAACATAAATTAGTTCATTGTGCTCAAAGAAATGATGAAATTGTTATAAATTGAATTTGAAATTTTTTTCAAGCTTGTAACTTTTTTTCGAAAGCTCCAATTTGCAAATATTTTTTTTATACTAATATAATTTATCTGCTATTAAAATTTTGACACCAAGATGTATTTTTCTTCGTTTCAAAAATTTGAAAATATTTTTACTCAAAAAGCTTCTAAAAATTTTATATCTCTCTCTATTTTTATAAAATAACATGAAAATGTGAAATTGTTTTAACGAAGTGGAAGGAAAATACTTTGATCAAATTTTAATAACAGATAAATTATATTTTTGTAAAAAATATCTACAATTAAATTTCAAAATTTTTTTTGAACTTTCACAAAATAGTTACAAGCTTTAAAATATATAATTTTTTTAACGAAATAATAATTAAATTTCGTTTCCTAGATATCATATTTCTGAAAGTACGAATTTTTTTTTAAATTAGGCAACAATAAAATATAATGAGAATTATTTAATAATTATTTTTTATTACAGTATCTATCACAAATAGGCTATTGTCCTCAAAATACAGCACTAATGGATTCATTAAATGCAAGAGATCATCTTCGTCTATTCACACAAATAAGAGGAGTGCCAAAAAATCAAGTTAATTTAGAAGTTGAGGATTGGATTAAGAGATTAAGTAGGCAAAAATTTTTATTTTAAGCAAATTTGAAAATTTTGTTTTTTTTAAATAATAATAATTATTATTATTTTCATTATAGATTTGACTGATTGTGCTTCTGAACCATGTTACACGTATAGTGCAGGAAATAAACGATGTCTAAACATTGCAATGGCTTTTATTGGTACTCCCCATTTAGTATTATTGGATGAACCCACTATTGGAATTGATCCAGCTTCACGGAAATCATTTTGGAATATGCTTAAATCATTTTTAAGAGCTGGACAATCTGTTATTCTTACGTCACATTGGTAAAATATTTCAAAAATAAAATCGTTATTATGATATTTAACATTTTTTGTTAAAATATTTTTTTCTAATACAATTTTTTTGTTTTCGTTTAAAAAGAAAAAAAAAATTCCAAATATTTAAAAAATATAGATAATAATTTCTCGGCAATTTATTTTCAGTATGGAGGAATGTGAAGCACTTTGTAATCGATTGGCTATATTGGCGAAAGGTCAGCTCATTTGTATTGGATCGAGTGAAGAATTGAAACAACGTTTTAGTAATGGATACAATATTAATATAGAATTAAATCCAGAACGAGCAGAGGCGCAATTAAATGCACTAAAATATGATTTAGAGAATTCAATAAGTTGTGAAATTCGAGATGAACATTTGGTAAGTTATGTAAATAAATTTATTTAATTATTAACATAATAATAAATCATTTTCAAATAAAACAAAAACTATTCTCCAAATATTTTTTCAGAGTAACATCACCTACTATGTGAAAAATTCTGAAACAACGTGGAAAACAATGTACGACTTAATGAAACGATTACAACAACAATATCCTTGTATAGTAGATTTTACAATTCTATCAGCGACATTAGAACAATTATTTTTACGATTTGTTAAACTCAAGGAATAGCAAAAAAAAAAAAAAAATTTCCATACACTATTTTCTGAAAACCAAAAATTTGTAAATTAATGTAAAATCAATAATATTTAAGTAATATAAGTCATTCCAAAAATATTTTCACATATAGTAATTTTTAACTGACATCGGTAAATATTGAGGGATGAAAAAAATAGAAATCTTTTTTTATTTGTTGTTCTTTAGTCTCTAAATGGAAACTAAAACTAAATTTTATATTTATAAAAAAATCTTTAGATAATAATAATACAAAAAAGGAAAATCGAAAAAATCTATATCAATTTATCGATCAACGTTACTAATGATATAGTTCATTATTACGAGAAAAAAAAAATATTGTACTTTTATTGTATTATATATTGTACGTACAAATGAATCTCATGTGATTTATATGCAAATTGAATCTCAACATATTATTATTCATTATTTTATAATTATAATGTATTAAATTAATAAAATGTCAATAATTCTTTAAAATGGTAAAAATTCATTAATTTTAAATTATTCTTTTTTTTCTGTACACTGATGAAGTTTTAGTAAATTAGTTTTTAGAGATTTTCATTGAAATTTTTTTACTCCTTATTTTTTTTAAAAGAAAAATTTTAATCTTGAGTTTTGTATTAAATTAAAAAATTTTTTTCAATTCAAAATTAAAAAAATGTCTTTTTTTTAAGATTATTGAACGGTATCTGAAATTATTTGGCAAAATTAATTATCGCCCTTTAAAACGACACTGAACGTGAAAATAATAAATTGACAGTACAGGGTACGGAAGTAACCAATTTTGTATCCTAAATAAAAAAAAAAATTAATAAAATAAATAAACTTTAAAATACTTTAATTTAATATTTAGTATTGCAATAACTAATATATTAATAAATCGATAAGAAATTTTAAATTGAAATTAAATTCTAAATTCACGTGAATATATATTTTTTTTTTGAAATTCCCGCTAGAAATTTAATGCGCAAACCTTGTATTGTACACTCTTGGCCGTACCTACACATTTTTGTCCTTTTCTAACTCACATGTTGTCATGGCATCACGTGCGTTAGAAAAGGACAAAAATGTGTAAGCTTATCTGGCTACGAGTGTACTTCCCGCAGTTAACTTAAATTTAATCAACCTTCACTTCACAGAACACTGTGATTCCCCTTTCCTTACGTTCATTGCCTTGATTGTCTAAGGGTAATTCCACATCAAATTTATAGTCAACTATTTAAATTATAAAAAATATTTTTTTTATCCTTTTTTACAAAAAAAAATTATTAAATTTTATTTATTATTATTATTATTTTATTAATTTTTTAATAATAAATTTTCAAAATTTTAGCTTTTTCTAGATCCGTTTTTTCCAAAAGAGTATTTAACTCCGAAAGTATTGAATTTAACAATTTTTTACAAGAGAACTTCAATTTGTCTTCAACTTTAGAATGTGAACAAAAAAAATTATAACAATTTTTTTGTAAACTAAGATTTTGCAAAAACTATACAATTCTTTTGCATAAATCTTCTTAGTGTTTCTAGAGAAAAAAAAAATGTTTTAATAATTTTTTCATAAAAAATTATTATTTTTTTCAATAAAAATTGATATTTGTTAACATTATTGAAAAGTCGATGAAAAAATAAAAGTTTTCTTATCTTGACAAAAATTATTAAAATGTACCAATAGAGAGCGTCTATAAATATCAAGCACTTTTTCAAGATTTTTCACCCCTACCCTCTCCCCCCACAACTGTCAAACTATTTTTTTTATATTATTTTCTTATAGAAAAAATACATTATGTCACGTTTGGCAAAGACTCTCCCCCCACCTTTCTCAGTGCGTGACATAAATTCAGACACTTATATAAAAAAATACTTATACTATTTTTTTTCCATAAAGAACAAAAAAAAATATTTTTATCTCTGAATTTAAAAGATCGACTATAAATTTGACGTGGAATCGCCCATAAATAACAAAAACAGAAAATATTTTCTCAGGCGTTGAAATTAATATTATCCTTTTCTATCATATATTTCTCTATCTCTCTTCGATTATAGAAAAAAACAATTACTAAAGTGAGATAAATTTCTGTGATGATATTGTCGTATTATATATTAAAAGTATTGATGGCATTCAGAAAAGTGAGATATCAAAATTTCTATATAAACTTCCTAGAACCAGTTATTAATATTCGACTTAGTTTTAATCAAATAATATTTTATTAATTATACTCTACATTTAGGAACAAAAAAAGGAGGTAAGAAATAATTCATATTTTTATCAAAATATACAAACAATATTGTAATCATAATTTTTTTGTAATTTTCCATTTTAGAATGTTTCTAGAATTCTAAATCAAATAAAAGGGTATAATTTATTTATTTTATTAAATTTGCTTGCTTTAAAAAAAAGGTTAAATTTTTCTATCAGATAATTTTCTTTTAGATATATAAAATTATATAATAATATAATTTATTATACTTTATATTCGATAAATAATTCAAAACAAGAAACTCAATTTACCGTGTCAAAACAATGCTCTTGTTTTGAGATGAAAAAACAACAAAAAGATGTATAAATATAATAAGTAAATAATACTATTCTGTAAAAAAATATTGGCTTACTAAAATTCATAAGAAAAATATCAGGGCTTTCTAGCAGAACACTATTATTGTATTTATTTTGCACGCGCTCTGCCGTCAATTTTTAGTACGACCAAGAACTATATTGAGCAATAAGTACAGTGTTTGATTGTATCAAAAAAAAAAAGAAAAAAATAACGACAGGAAAGCGTGCAAAATAAGTACATATAAGTAGTATTCTGCTAGAAAGTCCTGATATTTTTCTCCCTGTGATATAAATAAAAACTCTTTTTCTTCAATTCAACAGAAAACACCATCACTATGTACGGCAGTATTAGAAATACAACAGTAATTGACAATTTGAAATTAATTCACATCAGTTGGGATTTAAATTTCATGGATATTGTTATATCAACATTAGAAGAATCTCCCTTTGAAGTAACATTAAAATCAAGAGCATTTAATTTACCAAATTATAATGGTCCAATGCGTATACATTTAAAATGTATGGAAAGAATTGCCGAGGGGAAATATATGGTGATATGTGTGAAAAGTGATGGTAGACCTGATGATAAAATTGTTGATAATATTATTGTAAATTGTTCACAATACAATTTTGTGTGGTCGAAAAATGTTTTTCAAATAGGTAATACAGTGAAAAATTGTCCCTCAAAACCATTTGAACTTTTTCTACGCGAATTAAAAATGTGTAAAACTTTACTTTTAGATATTACATTATCAGAAATTAGAAACACTCAAGTCATTGAAAAGTCATGATTTATTATTAAATTATTATATATAGCGATATATTTTATTTCGACAATAAATTAAAAATTAATTTCATAATAAATTATATTCAGTATTGCATATATTGCTTTTTGACAAAAGATATAAAATTATAAATTATCTTTTATGTGATCTCGATATTTAATGTTGTAAATATGTATATATTATTAATGTCAATAAGAAATAATAAAGTTACATTGAAAAAATATAATTTTTTTTTAAAACCAAAAATGATTTTAAATATATTGCAGATTATAGTAGTGACGAATATAAGTTAATTAAAATTTATTGCCAGAAGAATAAAGAACCAATAACGAGGCTGAAATTTACTACGTTTATAATAAACGATTTTTAAATGAAAAATTCTATAATTTTTTTTAACCTAAAAAATATTTCTCGTAGTAAAAAATATTTTTTTTGATTAATTTTTTTTATAATTGTTTCCTAATCGTTTATCATAAACGTTGATGATTTTAGTATCGTTAAATTCTATTGAAATTTTAAAGGATATTAAAAGTTATATATAATTTTTGTTTCAAGTTTTACGAAAATTTATCTACACGAAGGTCAAACTCAATCTCTTATTTAAAATAAAACTATAAGTGAGAAATTTAAATTGTTTGTTTTCTGAATTTATAGAAAACTATATGAAAAATAAAATACAAAAAATGTAATAGATTAATTAATTTACGTTAAATTTTTATGAATTTTCAAAAAAAAATGCAAATATAATTAATTAATATATAAATGTATATGGATGTAAAAAATCATTCTTTTTTTTATTAGAAAAAAAAATATAATTTAATTATTTTGTAGATTATTATTATAATATTAGAAAATTAAATTTTTAGAAATTTAAATATCGATGTTTTACTAAAACAATCGAAAATCACACTAAAAGGTTTATGCAAAGAATAAACAAAAAATAAATAAATTATCAATAATTATTTTTTCTTGCAAAAAGTTAAATGTAAATATTGAAGAACAAAAAATTCAAACGTTTAAAAATTTGTTGGCCCTGAAAAGGGCCGATTGTTATTATTTTAGTTTCGTTATTTCAAAGTTACTTGGAACTGGTGTATTTTGTCACAGCTTTGGTACCTTCGGAAACAGCGTGTTTAGCAAGTTCACCGGGAAGAAGAAGTCTCACTGCAGTCTGGATCTCCCGCGATGTAATCGTTGATCTCTTGTTATAATGAGCCAAACGTGAAGACTCAGACGCAATACGCTCGAAAATATCATTTACAAAACTGTTCATAATACTCATTGCTTTGCTGGAAACTCCAGTATCAGGATGAACTTGTTTCAAAACTTTGTAAATGTAGATTGCGTAACTTTCCTTCCTCTTCTTCCGCTTGACTTTCTTGTCGGACTTGCTAATACTTTTCTGGGCTTTACCAGATTTTTTCTCCGCCTTTCCACTTGTTTTAGGAGCCATCTCGAAACTTTTTGATTTATATTCCAGACAGAGATATTTACTTGACGATAATCAGAGACTGAATGGTTTTGCAATTTTTTCGCATTTATTTTATAGACATTGAACAAAAGAACGCCCACCAATGAGAGTGAAGTAAATGACAGGTGTTTCAGGATTGGTGGGGGATCTTTCTATCAAGAGCTATATATAATAAGCAGTAAAAGTGGGAAATTATTATTTTGATTCTAACTACCGAGTAATTAGTATCCTCGACCAAAAAAAAGTTAAACACAATGTCTGGACGTGGTAAAGGAGGAAAAGCAAAGACAAAGTCAAAGACACGGTCAAGTCGTGCTGGACTTCAATTTCCTGTTGGTAGAATTCATCGTTTATTGCGTAAAGGAAATTATGCAGAACGCGTTGGAGCTGGAGCACCCGTTTATTTGGCAGCTGTCATGGAGTACTTGGCCGCCGAAGTGCTTGAATTAGCTGGCAATGCTGCGAGAGATAATAAAAAATCGAGAATCATTCCAAGACATCTCCAGTTGGCCATCAGAAACGATGAAGAATTAAATAAGCTTCTTTCTGGAGTTACTATTGCTCAAGGTGGTGTTCTGCCAAACATTCAGGCAGTTCTTCTACCCAAAAAGACAGAAAAGAAAGCTTAAATTTCTTTTATCTAAAAAGAATTAACAAACATTACAAAACAATCGGCCCTTTTCAGGGCCAACAAGTTTTTAAAACGTTGCTTTTATTTTTGTTATAAAACATTTTCATATGAAAGGACCCCGCATTAAATACACAGAAAATGCCTTATGATTTAATTTGGCTATATTTTGAAAATTTTTAGTTGAAAGTGTTCTGATTGAAAAAAAAATTGTCCAGAAGTCACTGAATTAATTTTTTTATAATATTCACTTTCGAACAAGTGATTTGATGTACGTGAAGTTAGCACTCTAGACATAAAATATATAATTTTTTCCAATTGGAAAGGTTTGGTGGTCGTTTGGTGATCGTTAGGTGCTAGTTTTTAACGTTTGGTGGTCAAAAATAAAAAAACTAGAAAATCTTTCAATTTGGAGTGCCAACTTCACCCTTGCACTCCAGTTTTCAATATTTTTAAAAATTTCCTTTTCGAATCGTTTGGTGGTCGTTTGGTGGTTGTTAGGTGGTGGTTTTTAATGATTGGTGGTCATCCAATTAATAAATATAATCAAATTAAAGAACTTAAGTTACGCAGGCGATTCTGCTCGTGTTCAAAAGGCGCCAGAATTTAAATTAAAGAAATCCAATTACAAATTTGAAAAATACAAAACCCTAATTAACTAACAGTTTATATAAGCCTTTTGATTATTTAGTGTTCTACAACAATATTGTTATTTTTTATTTCATTTTATTATTTAACAACATAATCATTTTTTACTTTATTAAAGTAAAAGTATCAACTTTGATCAATTAACATGGAAATAACTATAACAGTTATTTAATTCAGAATACCTCGTAAAACTGGCATATGTTATTTTCTTTAATTTAAATAATGCCATATGAAAATCGAAGATTCTTAATATCTATAACGGAGTGCTAACTTCACATTTACAATTTCTTTTAAATAATTTTCATAATTTTTAAAATTTCTTTTTCGTATCGTTTGGTGGTCGTTTGGTGGTTGTTAGGTGGTGGTTTTTAATGATTGGTGGTCATCCAATTAATAAATATAATCAAATTAAAGAACTTAAGTTACGCAGGCGATTCTGCTCGTGTTCAAAAGGCGCCAGAATTTAAATTAAAGAAATCCAATTACAAATTTGAAAAATACAAAACCCTAATTAACTAACAGTTTATATAAGCCTTTTGATTATTTAGTGTTCTACAACAATATTGTTATTTTTTATTTCATTTTATTATTTAACAACATAATCATTTTTTACTTTATTAAAGTAAAAGTATCAACTTTGATCAATTAACATGGAAATAACTATAACAGTTATTTAATTCAGAATACCTCGTAAAACTGGCATATGTTATTTTCTTTAATTTAAATAATGCCATATGAAAATCGAAGATTCTTAATATCTATAACGGAGTGCTAACTTCACATTTACAATTTCTTTTAAATAATTTTCATAATTTTTAAAATTTCTTTTTCGTATCGTTTGGTGGTCGTTTGGTGATTGTTAGGTGGTGGTTTTTGATGATTGGTGGTCATCCAATTAATAAATATTAACAAATTAAAAAACTTATGTCCTTATACGGAGGCGATTCTGCTCGTGTTCAAAAGACGCCCGTGCAGCATGCCGAACGCTCCCGCGAAAGATTTGAATTCAACTAAAATGAAATATTTGTTTTTTAATGCAAATTATTAATAAAAATCAATAAAAGATAATAGAATTACCGTATTATTATTATTTTAAAGTAAAATGTGAATTGATATGGTAGAAAAATGTATTTTTCTGGAAATTTTTCTCTATTAAAAAGAGCTGTGCAAGTACCTTTATACGAAGGTGATTCTACTCGAGTTCAAAAGGCGCCAAATTTGAAATTAAAAAAAATTATATTACAAATTCAAATAATACAAAATCTTTAATTAACTTAAAATTCAACTGAACCTTTCAGCGATTTAGTGATTTACAATAATATTGTTAATTCTTATTTTATTTTATTATTTAACTTCATAATATTTTCCTATTTTATCAAATCACACATTGATAAATTAACGTGGAAATAACTATAACAATGTAATATTATTAATTAACAATAAATTAACCATAATTCACAATACCTCGTAAAACAGGCCAATGTAATTTTTTTTATATAAATTTTGCCATATGAAAATCGTGCTAACTATACATTTGCATTTTATTTTAAAAAATTTTTAATTTCTTCATATCAGTTAAAATAAATCTTTGTGTGGTGATTTTTCTTGATTTAATGTCAAAATTGAAAAAATACTTTTGCGTATTCAGTAATGGTTAGAAATTATAGTAGTCTTTTTTTCAATGTTATATGAAGTTAGTAATAATTTTTTCAATTTTTTTTCGTATAACTTCTATATTACTTTTAATATGATGTTTATTAATACTGAAAATATGAAATGAAACATGAAAAACAATAATAAAAGCAATCTTTTCGTTCAAATTTGACAATTAACTCTTTATTTAAATTTTTTTGTTTTTAAAATTTTTCGTAATTATGCATCAATTTTTTTTAGAAGTAATGTATATTGCTGCAATTGGTGTTATTTTCATATTACTGTTGAAATTTTTCTTTCCCTGACATAGATCGTTATGTTCTTCCCAATTTCCATTAATTCTTCTACAGAGTGCAGTAAAATGGCCTGGGACAAAAGCTATTATTCCTGCTAATCTATAAAAAAAATTCATATATTTAGATATGTTCCATTTTTCTATTTAGTATAGTATTTCAAATTTTATATATAAAAGAAAATTAAATTTTCTTATGATTGAATGACTTTTAAACGTCATAAATGTCAAAAAGCATTAGAAATTTTGTAAAACAGAATGGAAAAATTTAAAATGTGTTTTTTTCACTTGTTTCTTGCGATTAGATAAATGACAAAGAATAGTATATTTCGTAATGAGTGTGAGCAATTGCCATTTTTTGATCGAGCGCTTTTTTCGAACAAGCTGTAGGCGAAGCTAATTGCGAGTTCCAAAAACAACGCTCGTTCAAAAATCGGCAACTATGTTCACACAAGTTACCAACAGGGACGTTTACAAAATAAAAATCAAATTTGAAAACACTTTTGTTTGGTTTCGAATCAATGTATTGGAAACAAAAGTAACTTTTGGTTTTATCATCAGAATTGACAGTCAACTAAATTTACCTTTGTTTCAGATATTTGAAACAAAAGTAAATGCCTTTTTACTTTTTTTTTAAACATCAAATTTATAAGTTAACTTCGTTTATTTTTGTTTCAGATCTCTAAATTTTTAATTTTCAGATATCAAAATCAAAAGTAAATTCCTCTTTAGTTTTGTTCAAAAAAGTGCAGGACTCAAGTACACACAAGAGTATTGCTCAAGTGATTTTTGTTAAACAATTTAAACTTATTATTATTACTATTTAGTATCAATTTAATTTGATTTTTATTTAATTTAATTGAAATTAAATTAATTACAAATTAAAGTCAAAACTACTTTTGTTTTAATTTGTGTAAAAAAAAGTAATGTGAAGTAGACTTTTGTTTTAATACCAAATTAGGAATTAAATTCGAAGTGACTTTTTATCCAATATTAAGTGTAAACAAAAGGAATTTGAAGAAGACTTCTGTTTCAACATCTGTGGAAACGAAAATAATATGTAATAGACTTTTGTTTCAATCTGTGTGAACAAAAGTAACGAGGAGTAGACTTTTTTTTCAATACAAAATAAAATTCCAGTCGAATTCAATTTTGCTTCCAAATACGAATAATACTTTTCATAACAAAGTGCAAAAAAATGCCCTTCTTAGCACTGCGTTATGAGAATTATTATTTATATGCAATCAATTTTAATTTAATTTTAAAGAAGAAAAATTAATTAATTTACCTGAAAGTATTATTATCAAAATTCAAGTAGATAGGGAAGTCTTTCGGTGAGCAGGTCATCAGTGTCTGTGATGAAATCATTATCTCCAATTCTATGTATATTTGAACGTTAAAATCTATTTTTACATCTTTAATTTGCCGAGAGCAATTGCTAATAGAGCACTTGTAACTTGAGTGTAAAATAAGAGACTCACTTAGTGCTTCAATTCCTTTGGTTCTAATAATGTCCTCATCAACCGATATTCTCTTTACTTTTTGGAGAACATTATGTCCAGCTTCGCAAGTTTTAGACCTCGAGAAAGTAATTTCTTCTTTCATTAAGTGTTGCCACATAACGGGAAGACAGCAGTAAGCATCTATAACTCTTAGCTGATTTGGACTTGCGCTATTAAATAAGACATTGTATTTTGTACATGGGATTCGTTTACCATAAAGGCCTCCATAAGAATAACTGCACGATGTATATAAACGGGTCCAACATTACGCCCTATCCCTCCAAGGTCCAAGAAGCATAAAACAAAATTAACCACATCTTTAATAGAGTCCGATTTT